GCTACTTAATAAAAGTTTGATGTTTCATTCAATTTTGTACTAAGAGGGGCATGCCTACTGACAAACAGTCGGCTACTCTCCATGTTTAATTTTCATTCTTACCTAAGAGGGGAATGCCTACTGACAAACAGTCGGCTACTCTCCATGTTTAATTTTCATTCTTACCTAAGAGGGGCATGCCAACTGACAAACAGTCGGCTACTCTCCATGTTTATTTTTCATTCTTACTTAAGAGGGGCACGCCGCTTGTTTCATACAACCGGCTACTCTCCCATAACACAGTTCACCAAGAACTATCAAAGGCTCATAGCTAAAATGATCAGACCAGGCGCCAAGCCAACTGATCCAAATATAAGTTCAATTCGACCTGTCCCAACATTATAGCAGGCGTCCGACGGCATCTATCCGGATGAAATTCGTCGCAGAGAGCAGCTCCCTTTTAGGTGGAACATTGTTGCATAAAATCATTACACGGCACCTATACGACTGTCTAACCAAGACAACCACGTAGCCGTTTCCCGGACAAGGCTACCCTTCACTTAACTGACTAATCAGGTCAAACAAGTGTTTGCAGTAACCATCCGTGTCAACCAACCGATTGAACTACTTGGGATAAGAACAGTCGGTATCTTATGAGTTAATAGCCAACAAACATTGGCAAATAAAGGGGAGCAACCGGTACCCACCGCTTGAAACCTCTACTACTCAGTTACCCGGCGACTAGGTAACAATCATGTTTACTTGGTCACTCCTTAAAAATTTAGTATGAGACTAAAAAGGTGTTCACACTAGGCTAAATGTGGCGGGAAATAGTCGGCCTGGACCGACTAGAGTCTCTAGCTTAAAAAAAAACAAAAAAAAAAAAAAAAAAGCAAGGCAGGTAGGAAACCACCTTCCTACTTGGATAAAGGGGATCCAGTCTTTAAAGTGGCCGACTGATCGCTTAGCCTGGAAACAGACAACCAGTCGTCCAGGGGCATAGGTGGTGTGATTAACTACCTTGTACCTGTCCACAACTATCGGCCATGCAAAACAGTCGGTATAAGTATGCAATTTGATATCAGAGTTTCGATACTTAACAAATTTTAACAGATTCAAAACGAAACAAATTCGAAGGACTGGCATAAACATTCATACCCCCGACCCCTTGGCCGGGTAAAAGATAACAAAAGGAAGCCGATCATGAAGACCGGCAAAATATTCAGAACCCCGGCCCCCTGGCCGGGTAAATAGAAACAAACGGCACGCAGGCCGTAAAAAGAAGACATTAAGCTTAAGAAGGGGGCAGATCTTCAATAGTAGCAGCTGCCGCCTGGTCAGCACTCTTTTTGCTGGACTCGGCTTCAGCTGCATCCTTCTTCGATGCATCACCCCCAAGCGGCACAAGCGCCACTACCGGCTCCTCCTCCTCCAACGCCTCGTCCTCAGCAGCCGCCAGGATCTCTTGATTATATCTATCAGAGCACTGGCGGTACGTTTTTTCCCAGGAGGAAAAGTCGGCATTGGGGAAGAGGCGGCCCCAGGTCAGGCGCTAGATCTGAGCAGAGTCTTCCATCATCTCTCGGACCAGCTCCTTCTTTTCTTGCTCGGCCTTTGCCGAGAGCTCCTGAGTAAGACTCTTCTCCTGGGTCACCAGGCGTTCCTTAACGTGCGCCAAGGATTTCTCCAAGGTGTCATATGAGGACATTTTTTGGCGAAGAGGTCTCAGCTCGGCCTTGAGATTGTTGATGGTCGCCTCCAGCTCACTATTTTTCTTCTGGGCCGCCTCTAACTGAGCCCGGATAGCAGAAGTAGCCTGCGCCTGATAATAAAGAATATCAATTGTCAAAATCTCATTTTGGGCAATTTGAAACATTGCCTTATCACAGTCAGAGGCGACCATAGTTTTTGCAGCCTTTACCTCTTTGTTCTTCCTGTCAAGCGGCTTGCGAAGGCCGTTCACTCGGAGCAGGGCCTAAGTAAAAGGGAACGGGCGTCAGTTTCCAAACAAAAAACAGGCGTCCTGGAATTCAAATAACCAAAAATATGCTAAGTATACCTCAGCAAGGACCCCTGCAATCCCGTCTAGGTCAAGGGTGCCGACACCCCTGACCGCCTCCCTTTCAGCTGGAGGAACGACTTTGATCATAGACTTGGCCACCTCGACCAAGTCCGGCTCCTGAGGGCCGGCCGCATCAATTATAAACAAACGAGTTAGACCTAGTAAAGAAGGGAGCAAGTCTAAATTCACAAAGACAACTTCATACTTCTAGGCGGCCCGATTGGAGTTTTAGAAGGAATGGACGGCTGTTTCTCAGCCACCGCATGTTTCCTGGCAGAACCAGGAGAGCTCGCAACAGTTGTCCTACGGGTCTTGGAGTCCGGTTGTTGGGAAGAAGAGGCTCTTGGAGTGCCCGACTAAAAAAAAAAAAAACACTCGGTCAGTATATGCATAAACCCAACTCCAAAAAGAGAGTGAAAAGTTCGAAGCTCACCAAGGGCGCCCCCTTGTTGGGGGAGTCGGTTGAGGACTGTTGCATGATGGAGGCCCGCAACATGGCCGCCGCAGTCTTGGAGGCGGTAATTTTGCTCATGGCGTCCGCTGCAAAAACAAATAGCAAAGTTAATAAAAAGTCATAACAGTAATGCATGTAAAAACAGAGTATTCGACAGGTCGGCTACCTCTTGAACACCGACTGCTAAGGCCACAGGCGGCCAGAAAGTACTCGTCATAGAGCCATTTGAAGCTCGGGACGCAGTACAGGGGTACTTGCTCTCGTACCCCTGTAGTAGAGTCGACCCTCGACTCTACTTTAAAGAGTCCTTTATCCAGGATCTCTTTCTTGGCTTTGGGGGGAACAGGCGGCATGTTGCGGCCGCCTGCAAGAAGAGGCGGATTCCTGTTCCACTTGTTGAAGCGCTTGTTCAGCTCTGTGTCTGAACTTTCAATGATAAGGAAGGTGTTTCGCCAATCCTTCCACTTGTTTGCTTTACCTCTTGTCATGAGGTAGCCTCTGTGGCTCGTCAATTGATACCAGCCGGTACCGCCTGCCTTAGGGGTCCGGCTGAGGTAGTTCATGTGGGCGAAAGCCTCGAAGTTTGGCTCCACCCCGTGCAGTTCGCACCCGGCAACATAGCCGAGTACGTTGACCCAGGAGTTTGGGGCTAACTGCCATAACCCCAACTCATACCCATCCAAGATCCGCTGAACAGCCGGATGTAGTGGGAAGCGCAGCCCAGATGGCCGCCTCGTAGCAGCCAAAGCAGGCGCCATCATAACTAGTACCAGCCGGCCAGACAACTGTGTCTTCTGGATCCGGCACGAAAACTAAAAAGTCGGGGCCCATTGTGTGGTTCGCAATAAAGCTCCCAACTTTCTCTTGCATGGCCGTGATCCGGCCCCGTGGGACAGTGCAGTAGTAGGGGGTATTCTGCTCTCGGTAAGAGGCGGATGGCTCCGCCCAATTGTCCCCCTTCTCAACTGCGTGAGAAAGTCTCGCCTCTTGTAGGCGGCTGTTTTTCTCTTTAGAGAAGCATGACCAGAAGAGTTAGACTCGGATTCGTCCTCTGACGAGTCCGAAGAGGACGACTCCTCCCCTCTCCCCGAGGGGCCCGCCTCCTCTCCTTCAAAAGGAGCAGGAGAGAATGTAGACTTGTCAACTGTAAAATTGGAAGGGGTCACTTTGACTCCTCCCTCAGAACTGTCGGCTTTCAAACCCCTTTGGTTCACTTCCACATCTGGCGCCTGGTCAGATGTTTCACTAATCGGCACCCTGTGGGAGGAGCCATCTGAGTTCGAAATCCTAGCAGTTCTTTTTGTTCTGGCCATCATGTTCTGCATAGACACAGAGACAGTCGGAGTTTGTATAAAGGGCAAAGATGGGTCCGGAAAAGGGCAGGCGACACTCCTAGTCCTAGATTCAGCCGTCCCCGGTGACCGGCTGATCACTAACCTAGGTCGTGTCGTGTGCTTCCGTGGTGCCATTTCAAAAAAGAATAAAATAAAGAAAAAATTAAGAGTAAGAGAACCGACGGTTACCTGAACGAGTGAAGTTGACGGTGTTTTGGAAATCTTGTGTAGTCGGCTTGTCAGAGCAGGCGGTAGGCAGAAAGGGTCCGAAATGTCAGAGCAAGTTCAGGGGTCCGAATGTTCTCTCTAAAAAGTTCTCAAATGTGAAAATGACTGAAGTCAACACCCCCTTATATAGGCGAAGTGAGAAGTCGAAGGGTCACTTCCAAAATTCAAAATTTGGGCGGGAGAATCTCTCGGCCTTTCGCCGAGTGACACCTGTAGCAGGCCGTCGCCTGTCACAGTGCGACACCTGTCACAGGTAACACGTGACCAGTCACGTGCCACCTGTGAGGGGCAAATGATTAGGGGATTTTGCTCCCACCAATCGGAATGCGCCATGTGAGCCAATCAGGTCCTGTCAAGTGTCCCCCAGTTGGAACTGTCAGGGTTTGCCACGTGGCACACGCCTATTCGTCCACCCCGGACCTATTATGTCATGACACGTGGCATCCTCCATGCCTAATGGAGAAACCGGCCACCTAGGCCCAACTTCCAAGGGAAGCCCAATCAGCCCTAGGTTAACCTAAACCTAGGATTGGCACGTTTCCCAAGGTTATAAATACCTCCCTTAATCCTCATTAAGGGGGATTACGCACATTAAACACTCTCACCTAGAGAGACCCAATTACCTTTATTTCCGCATTAATTACTCCTTAATCAAGTACTAACTTGACCGTCGGAGGCGGATCTCCAATCATCCGGAGCATCCGTTTGTTTTGCAGGTACAGGCGTCCGGTTCCAGTCTCGGAATTGTAACTCTCCCGCAGGACATCAGAAAACCCCGAAACAACAAGTACATTTTCGTTTCTTCTGCATCAGCATCTAGCTGATATAACTTGGCTTCCTTTTGTGTGAAAAATTTGCTTGAAATTAATTAATGTTTTTGTTATGCTGGACATTGTACCCTTGTATGATTTCTTAGACTGTTAAAATTATCTCTGTTATGCAGGTTGGTTCTGCTGACCATCATATTCATTACTATGATCTGAGGAATATAAGCCAGCCCCTTCATGTGTTTGGTGGGCATAAGAAAGCACCCTATGAACAATTTCTTGGTTGGGCCATTGTTAAGGTTGCTGAGCCTCTTGATCATGTTGTTGTTCTTCATGTTTGCAGAAACTCAGGTACACTATTTAAATTTAAAAAAATAAATTCAAAAAGGAATTTTTTCAAATTATCAGGAAATATACTCTATGTTGTAGATGACGCAGCAAAGGAGAAGAAACAAGCTGGATGATTATCTAGATATTTTCAAGAATTTATGTGATATCAAGAAGGTAACTTTCCTCTGTTTTTTATTAATTTTTTTCTATATATAGGATTTTTTTTTTATATAATGAATGAAATTTTATGTGAATAAATTTTAGGTACAGATAAGTGGGAAGATATTGACAGGAAAATCAATAAGAAAAAGTCTAGTAAGTGAAGCAAAAGGGTGTGCTGCTGCTGCTGTAATTGTTGGAATAACAAAACCTGGTTCTATTGGGTAAGAAAATTTGACTAATTTAATAAAAACATATAAATATGAATAAGTAATTTCTGTATTTAAATTATATTATATATGTCATTGGTTCTATCTGATTACTGTGAACAGTAAATTAATTTCAGGGGTAGGATGTCAACTGCAAAATATTGTGCAAAACAATTGCCTTTAAGCACTGAAATCTTCACTGTTCATAATGGCAAAGTTTTATTTCAAAGACTCTCCAATGATGATCATATAGTACAAGGTTAATTTTTAATCCATTTATAAATAAAAAAAATAAAAAATTCATTTGGTGGTTGTTACTATATGCTAAAATGTTGGATTTTGTATGAAATTTATGCTAGGACTTGAAGAAGATCCGAGGTCGAGCTTCCATAAAGCCGGAAAATCGAATGGAAATCAGTCTGAGTTTGGAGATTCAGAAGTATCAGAAGTGGATTCTAATAGCTCAAAACTGAACTGTCAGAACTCGGAATCTGAATCAACAACAGATATCAGTTGTGAAGAGCTTGCAGAAGTTTAAACCCCTAAAAATGCTTGTATTGACAGTAAAAAATCTCTTCATATGAATGTCCAGTTAATCTTCTTCATATGGTGCTTTCTTTATCGTATCTCTGTCTCTTTACAATTCTGGTCTTTTGACTTTGATTCTCATAGAAAGGTAAAAAGCTGTCTTTTTAACCATATGTCAGTGGTATAAAAATGTGGGTTATTGGTGTTTATGTTGTTTGTTGTTCTTATTGCACAAATATATAATTTTTCGTTCCTTGCTTTGATTTTTTTTTGGACGAAAATTGTAATATTATAGCCTTTTTAATGAAAATATGTAATATATATATATTAATGTTTCTATAGCAATTTAAGTGAAAAAAATGCAAAAAAAATTATTTTTATTTTATTTTTATTTTTTTGGGGTATTTTTGGCACCGGTTTTGACCAGAACCGGTGCCAAAAGTTTTTTAAATTTTTTTTAGACTATTGGCATCGGTTTTAGTCAAAAACTGATGCCTAAAGTGAGGTTTTTCGCACCGGTTTTTGACTAAAACCGGTGCCAATAGTGTTGATAATAAAAAGAAAAAAATTCCCGCGTTTGAAGTTGGCACCAGTTAACCGGTGCCAAAATTTTGAGGATTTGGCACCCCTCAAATCCCCAACGGTTCAAAACCGGTGCCTTAGGGGGGTTTGAACAGGTGCCAAATTACCTTTTTCGCCTAGTGTATAAACTTTACTAAGCTATATTTCTTTCTCTTTATCCATTTAATAAAAGTTTTTTCATGCTATTACAACTTCTGTATTGTTTAATGACAAATAAATACAACAATATATAAAATGTTTGCATCATCATATGCCTAGATACCCGTTCAAGGCTTTCTCTTTAGGAGAAAGTTTTGAATAGTCCCCGGTTGTGACTGTTCTTGAACGTTTACTCCCACTTAGGTGGTGAATGTATGTCTTTTTTTTCGATTTTAAGGAACATCTTGGCTTACCATTTCCTCACCATGTTCTCTCGGTAGATATGTGGGTAAGTAATTATCTACATCGTGTACTTGGAGAACTGGGGGGAAATGCTGCCGGATTTTCCTTAAAATTGGAAGGTCGACATACATTAACTAGTGAGATTAGACGTTCAAGGATGGGTTAGGTTGGAGTGATAAGGACCCTTTGGAAGCATATATGCATTTTTTTTTACTATATGAATGGTATATGCATGGTGTGTGTTTGAATTTGATTTACATATATAATATATGTAGCAATTATACATTATTCATAATATGTTGCTATGTTTAGAGACAATTTACTAAATGGAGAAGGATCGTGGTTGGATGTATGGTAGACGTGATACATTAGAATTCTTTCATGGGGTTCAAGAGTTTTGCGAGAGGGCTTCATCTTATTAGCGCAGAATGGGTGTCGATTGCCTCTATTGTCCTTGTGTTGATTGTAATAATGTGAAGGTGGTCAATAGTGTTGAAATCATTAGAGATCATGTAATTTGTCGTAGGTTTAGGCTTAAATATCATGTGTGGATTTAGCACGGTGAAGGAGGAGAGTACAGTGGGGATGTTGATGGGAATGATGTGCATGATAGAAGCAATGAGATTCGTGTGGACGAGAAATACAGGAATAATGAATATATTATTGATAATGGTGATGAGGATGGATTTGAGGATGATCGGGTGGATGAGGTCGAGGATGAAGGGGTGGATGAGATGATGCGTGGTGTTGAAGGTGACGTGTTTGAGTCATTATCGGAGGCTTCTAAAGAGCCTTTGTATCCTGGGTGCAAAAAATACTCCAAACTATCAGCCGTGCTAACACTTTTTAATATCAAGTTGAAGCATGGGTCGACGGACAATAGTTTTACTTCTTTGTTGACCGCGTTAAGTGAGATGTTGCCTGACGGGAATGAAATTCCTAAGTCTTACTATTATGCAAAGAAGCTCATGTGTCCATTTGGTTTGGAGTATAAGAAGATACATGCATGTCCTAATGATTGTATTTTTTATCGAAATGAATATAAACAATTGGAGGAGTGTCCACGATGCAAGAAGTCGCGCTACAAGCGCATGAGTTGCAATGCTGGTACGAAGGGACCTCCTGCTAAGGTGTTGTGGTATCTTCCCATTATTCCAAGGTTTAAGCGTCTATTCTCAACACCAAAAGACGCTAAAAAACTTGAGGTGGCATGCAGAGGGAAGAAAGAAAAATAGAATGCTGAAGCATCCAGCCGACTCCCCGCAATGGAAGAACATTGATATGAAGTTTGGGAAATTTGGTGATGAAGTCAGAAATTTAAGGCTGGGGTTGTGCACGGACGGGATGAATCCATTTGGCACTCTTAGTACCCAACACAGCACATGGCCGATACTTTTAGTGATCTACAATTTGGCTCCTTGTTTGTGCATAAAACGTAAGTATGTAATGCTTTCACTGCTAATAGTAGTCATATAGGCCTTATTTGGGCCATTTAGGATCAAAATACGTCCTAAAACCCTTGAATTGCTCTTTTCATGTGATTTCAAGCCTTAGCAACGTATAACTAAGTAATATTGACATTTCATGAGAAAGAATGAGTTTATTTGATAAGAAATGTAGAAAATAGGCGAAGTAGCAGTCATATAGGCCTTATTTGGGCCATTTTGGATCAAAACGCGTCCTATGAATTGTTCTTTTCATGTGATTTCAAGCCTTAGCCGCGTATAACTAAGTAAAATTGACATGTTATGAGGGAGAATGAGTTGATTTGATAAGAATTGTAGGAAATAGGCATCCTAGTAGTCATATAGGCCTTATTTAAGCCATTTTGGATGAAAATGCGTCCTAAAACCCTTGAATTGTTCTTTTCATGTGATTTCAAGCCTTAGGTGCCTATAACTAAGTAATAATGACATGTTATGAGAAAGAATGAGTTCATTTGATAAGAAATGTAGGAAATAGGCATCCTAGTAGTCATATAGGCCTTATTTGAGCCCTTTTGGATCAAAATGCGTCCTAAAACCCTTGAATTGCTTTTTTCATGTGATTTCAAGCCTTAGTCGCTTATAACTAAGTAATATTGACATGTTTTGAAAAAAGAATGAGTTCATTTGATAAGAAATGTAGAAAATAGGCGAAGTAGTAGTCATACAGGCCTAAGTAATAAATTTTTGCCTAAGTGAACTTGTAAATGTTAATACTACAAAAGTGACCTTATATTAGGTAACACCAAATGGTAACACTTTCAAGGTTGTAAAGTTAATAGATATATAAGTAACATTCTTGTAACACTTTGGTTTTATATAGCACTTGGTTGTAACACTTTTATATTTGGTTTTTAATTTTTCTTATTCCAATTGCTTGATGAATATTTTGAAATTAATTACTAATTAAGATTGTCTATTGTTATATTAAGTTTTGTTTTTTTTTTAATCTAAATTCTAATCCAGATTTTCGAATTACGATTGCTGAAGACTTTTTTTTTTTTTTTTTCTTGACCGATTGTCGTTTTTTTCTTGACCGATTGTCGAAGACTTGAGGTAGGGTATTTTAGCAATTAGAGGTTAAAGTTTTAATTTGTTTTGTATTATATTCGATCTTAATGAAGGGTATTATACTAGAGAAGCTTGCAAGGGATTAAATGGGTTTTAATGAGTTGAAGGTAATGAATTGAATTGGTTTAAACTAATTGAAATTTTGAAAGATTGAAGTAATTTTGGGTTTAAAGAGTTTAAAGTTTTTGGATTAGATTTTTCAGATTAGCATTCAGATTATATGAATTAGCTGTATAGTTTAAAGCAATGATTAAGTAGTATAAATTGTTTGAGTGTATCTTCAGTAGATCATCCTCATTTGCTTCTTTTGTCTAATAGATTGAGTTGGGATCCGAGTTACCAACCTTATTGTTGTTTGTCCATTGACTCATTAAATGATTAAAATATGTTTTTTTCTGTGGTATGGAGGTTAAATCTAGTACAAGTTAACCACTGAGGGGATTGGCCACCTTAAGGCATACTCTGTTGATGACTTATTGTGTGGTAAAGAAAATAGATAGTCTCGTTCATTCTTCATTTATGTTTCTTATGCTATAGAATATTCTCACCCTATGTTACTAGGCCTCTTCATTCCTAGGTTTTGTCCTTGTTTTGTCCTTGTTAATTTGTCTCGTATTTATAGTTTTTGACAAATTACACATTAGTTCCTGTGTCTGTTAGAAGGTTTGGAATACATATCTTGATGTCCTACTTTCATTCAACATTTGGCAGTTTTCTCTTCATTTGCACTCCTATAATTATTGTTATAATTTTTTTATTCAATTAATTAAAGGAAATAAAGATTAGGGTTTTCCACCGGTAAAATATGATGGAAACCCCTTCGAAATTAACAATGGGGGCTAGAGTTTAGGAGAGAGAAGAGACAGAGGAGGCTAGGGTTTGTATTAATCACTTTCTCATATACTTTTATTACTTCACATTCTCCATCTTAAGTGACTAACAAAAGGGGACGGAGAGAGTATTATTTTTTAAGGTGAGGTGAACAGGACCTTACAATACTCTTCAACTCGGCTCATTCACAAATTACAACAATTTACGTAAGTTGAGTAGACCTGGACCCGATTTGAAATCAAAACTGATCTCACAAGTTGACTCTATTCTCGTACAATTGGTCACCGTCGCTCGGGTTCTCTTTTCTTTCCCGTCTTCTCTCTCACTCTCTTCCCTTTCCAAGAAAGAACCTTAACTCTGCTAATTCCGGTTCAATTTCAGTAAGTTCTCCCCTCTTCCTTCCCCTCTCTCCTCATCTGTTAAATTCTTGTAATTCTGTTATTCATTTACAATGTGGCCATTTTACCAATTTCATTGATCAATTAATTTTTAATATTAAACAGACAATTGATATATCGGTGCAAAATAGATCAAAATGGCTGGAAAAGAAGAAGTTAAGCATCTTGAGGAATGCTCTGTTTCGAAGTTTGTCTCTTTCCTTCAATCCCCTGAATTTTCTACTTAATGTAATGTGTTGGAATTTGACATTGTTTTTTTGGGGTTTTGCTGTCTTCATTTCATGGTTTTTTTTTTTTTTTTTCTTTCCCCTAATTGATCAAATTGCTTATTTTAAAGCATTTTTCTGCTGATTGTGAGATAAGTTATCGATCATTAATTCAGTTTGTCATGCTTAATTGAGACAATTATATTATATTTCTATTTTAATCATCCAGTATCCCCCCTCCCCACTAAAAGGAAAAAAAAAATTGAAAGGAAAGAGAAGAAATTTCTGGTTTTTTATTGCATTATGTTAATACAAGTGCTACAATCTAATTATTTATGTCAGTGGTAAGTTTACCTTGAATCAGATTATATGATATTGAATGATTCACGAACCCATGTCAGAGTTTTTGACTCTTGAACTTGGGTATGGTCACACGAGTACATGATGCTTAATTTTGGTCCAAAAACATGGAAATCTGTTGTGTATAGCTGAATTATCCTCACGTATAGTGCCAAAACCCAAATCTGGGTAACATAGACGGTAGTTAATGTTGTGCAACTCCTTGTGATCGATATCTCTTTTTCTTGTAGCTTCCTGGTTGCACCAACTCTATTTAAATTAATGTTTCAATTTGTGGGTGATGTTAATGGGGAAATAGCTGTCTGTGCAATGTTGAGATTCTTGAGACTAGAAGTATCAAAGGCACGGTTTTGAGTAAGTTACTTTTACTATACAGAGTACAGACTGCTTTCAAATTGTATAGCAGCAAAAAAGGAATATAGGATTATGAAACTGTTAGGATTGTGTACTACTATGCTTTACGCTATAGTACAAAACAAATTACTAAGATTTGTTAAACTAATCTAAAAGTATAGCTCTGGTATAATCGAGTTACCAGATGCCAATTTGCACATTTCGTTCATGTGTTCTTGGGGGGATAATCGAGTTAAATAAAACACTATTTCCAGCTTGTAATATCATAGGATCTTTTTGCTACTCTGAACCTCTTATATAAATAGCTTTTAAGTGATCAACCTTGATTTTGGCTTTGATATTTGGAAAGACATGTCTCACATATTTAGCTGTGGTGTTTGTTGTACCTACTATTTTCATCTTGATTATGTATCAGTTGTTCAAATGCAATATTCATTAGTTATGTTTTCCTTGCAGTGCCTTAGGAACATGGGTTTTTTCCGTATTGGGTGCTTTGGTAGCGATTCCTGTTGGAATAAAGAAGAAATCTCTTGCACCACTGGTATTCTTTGGAACGACAGGCACCATGCTGGACATTATAATGGGGATTAGTGCTTGTGAAAGAGAACATGCAGAGCGTCAAATGCAACTGTTGGAAGCACAAAATTCCGCTACTGATGCGTCAGTAGAGTCATTACCAGAATAAAAGCAACATTATATGGTAACTTGCTATCTTGATCAGACCAAAATTTTTCTTGTGTCAAAGTATGATAAACATGTATCTTATACATTGTTTCCTTTAGCACGGTGAAAATCTCAATTCCAAGATGATGAGCCTCCTGATTATAATGTCATGTTCTTGAAAAAATATTATTGAACATCCTACTCTACCTCATGTAGGTTATGTTTATGGTCTAACAAAATGTAGGTTATGTTTCTACCTACTTTTGCTGAAATCTGATTCTGTACTATATGATATTAGGGGATGGTATACAAAATAGTTCCTTAGAATAGTGAGCAGCAATTCAGATAGTAGTATTGAGTATTGACAAACCTCATTATTCATGTCAAACAAGATACTTAATAGAATAGTGAGCAGCAAGTAGTATTGACAAACCTTATTATTCGTGTCAAACGCGATACTTAATAGAATAGTGAGCAGCAAGCAGTATTGACAAAACCTCATTATTCATGTCAAACGCAATACTTGATATAATTGCTTAATTATGAAATCTATTCAAGAACGTGACAGCTAATTTTGGACGGAGGTATTAGTAGTTTAGTTGAAAGTTGAGGACTTTTGTTCTGAAACTTCTAATTTATACCCTCCAAAATGTAATGATTCACCACTAAAACAGGAAGAGTCACTCTGTCTTGCAATATTCTTGTAAGATCATCTTTCATCAGACTTTGTCTTTGATATGATAGGTACATTTGTCCATGACCCAAAGCTAGAGTAGAGAGGTAAGTAAAGAGATAGTTAAAAGGGTCACTTGACCCTAACATATAGATAGAATACATATTCTAAAGTACAACTCAAAATGATTCTTGAACACTTTATAGCTCTTAGCTGACTACATTATGCTCTAATACAGTATTAGATATCTCGAAGGCTAGAGGATAATTCTACCTGATTTTACAGATATTTCTGGTATGATTTACTGTAAACTTTAATTCTGCTTCCATCCAGGTTTAACTATCACTGTTAGACCTTAGACTATTTTGAAGTGAGCGACCTGGATGTTCTCAACTGGTAGCTTCTTGAAATTATTTTTCCTTTTGGTTGCGAAATAAACTCCCCAATTATATTCATTATACTTGGGGGGGGGGGTTTCGTCGTCAATTGTCTCTTCCAAAGGCTTTACCATGATGTAATGTGCTGGGTGGAAGAAGAATGGAATAGATAGCCTCTCCTTCTCTGAGTTTACCATCACCCTATGCTCCACACTCTCATATTTATCATTGCTCCAAACCTGCAACACACACACACACACACACACACACACACAATTAAGAAAAACAGTGCTCAAATTGGCCTTTATATACTATGTTAAAAGTGTTTGTCACCAACTTCTGAATTTTAGTTGTACATGTAGAGAACCCCAAGTTTATATTACAGCCTCATATATCCCGAAAGTGGGGTAATGCTTACCTGGACAATGTCACCCACATTAACGATAAAAGCACCAGGGTTGGGTCTAACACTGACCCATTCACCATCTGATTTCCGTCGGACTTGTAAACCACCAACGACATCTTGTGCCAGAATTGTCAAGGCGCCTGCATCTTTGTGTCGATTAAGGCCAAGAACCAGTTGAGGAGAAGGGCAGGACGGGTAGTAATTAAGTCGCACGAAGCTTGCATGATCCTTGAAATAGCCGTTCAGCCTATCTGCTGCAAGGCCTAAGCTTAAGGCTATCAGCTCCAGCAGCTTAAACGCGAGTTTTTCCAAATCCCTTGCATACTCTTGGGCATCCTCCTTGAACTCAGGAGGAGATTGTGGCCAGCAGTTAATCAGCTGCGTGGGTTTAAGATCATCAGGATCAACTGGAATATAGGAGGGGTCTTTAGCAGTAAAATCGAAGACTTGTTTCCAGTCTTAAACATTTCTGGTATGCTTGGAATCATAGTATCCGATTGGGTTGCCCTCATCTTGACCCACCTTCCTCTTTTCCTCTTGAGGTAAGGCGAAGAATTTCCTACCTGTGACCTCAAGTCTCTCAAGCTTCTCTAGTGGCACACCATGGTTGATCACTTGGAAGAATCCCCATTTCTCACAGGCATTGCCTATCTCAGCTATAAGAACTCCAATGTCCGTTAATATCACCACGATCATTTTCGTTGTGATTGTTTGAGGTAATGGGAGAAAGATCAATGATTGGGATTCCTTCAGCTTCAATTGTAAAGGGTTTAGGCCTTTGTTCAATGGGTTGAATGAATGCAGGATCAATTTCTGACATTGTAAGGGATGAGCTGAATAAAATTGAGGGTTGAGTATGAAATTGTTGGTTAATGCTTTATAGAGTTTATTTATACTGTTACATGTTCTCTATTTAGAGCATCTATATCCTGGACATTTGTGTGAAGATAATTGCTATGGTAATTTGGCTACAACGTTGGTCAAGTGACATGGTATTTATGCTTAATATGTGTAAAGCGAAAGCTGAAATTTTATGTTTTTTCGAAAATGCTATCGATTTTAGACTAGCACGTGAGCGAATAGAAATGATATACGTAGCGTAGTAAAAGAATTTTACTCCGTAATATTTTGGAAAATAGATACTTCTACTAAACATATATGGAAGCTTGTCAAAATTAGGTTTAAGGAATGTACCGTATTTCTCTAGGATGTTTAGGTTTATCGGCATTTTGGTAAATAAATTAATTTTATCTAGTTAACATCCATTGTGGAGCCCAAAGGCCTTGTTTTTATTGAAGAAGTTATTAATTGAACTCAACTTTTCCTTACAAAAAAAAATTAATAAATAACAAAAAATAACTCAACTTTTTTCTTACTAAACTCAACTGATTTTGCTTCAAAAAAAAAAAAACTCAACTGATTGATTTTGAATAAAGAACTAAGATTATATTTACTGTTATAAAATACATGAAATTAAAGGAAGAATAAAAGAAAGATGTAGGGAGTAATCTTCATTGTCCATATATCATCTTCATTAGGCCATACCCATACATATATATATATATATATATATATATAATATATATATATATATATATAAAATATAATATATATATATATATATATATATATATATATATATATATATATATATACATGTGAGTAGTAAGTAGTAACCTCTCAAAGAGAATGTAAAGTCATCATTATGTGAAGGATTAAAGAAGTAAAGACAAAAGGGGGTTACAAAGGAAGTAAAGGCCTAAGGGGATTACGAAGGAAAGTAATAAAACTAGGGAGTTATAAAGACATAATGGACATATATAACTCTATTTCATAACATTTACTAAACTTAACTACTAGTAATTTTTACTGAATACTAGCATGGACAAAATTACATAAAGAGGATAAGTCCTTATTTTATAGGTTGTTTTTACTTTGTAATTATTATTCGGAAAAAATCACTTTTAGATGTATAAATTTATAATGTAATAGCATAACCGGGCTCCACTTTTCATGAATCATTCATGGGATAAACTATTCCGGTTTGTTCATGGCATGAAGCTATGATTCATGAACTTAAATAGTAAAAAAGCACTTCTATATAAATAAAGTTATACTAATCGAACATATTATGTTAGTATGCTGTATGCATTAATGCTTTCAATTTGCAATACAAAGATTAGTTCTCCGGCTGCTGAATGTTATGGTACAAAATGATGATAGATTCCTAGGAGTGGTTACATTTAGAAATCCACTCACTATGACATATTTTAGCGATATTTAATTCTTGACCAAATAAAGCGTATTCGAAATAGAAATTTAAACTTTTTTAGAGTCATGAGTAAACTCTTGAATCCACTCACTGTGATGAGTTTATATTATCCTCGTGATACACAAATTTTTATATATGGTCGGAGTTATTCAGTCAAGGGTTATCTGATTAGTGTTTTGATATGTGTTAGCTTGTCGCACGGTGTGGTTGGCCACACAAAAAAACACTGCTCGTGATATGATTGATCTTGAAAATAAGCAAAATTTTGCCGATATCAACCACTACAAGCTTCCAAATATTGATCTTAAACATAAACTCTCATTATTTACTCTTTCTACTTTTTTACGCGTATCCAAGCAAACTTTCTACTATTCTACACGCATGAATCCACTGATCAATAACCCTGTTGTTCAAATATTCAAGGGAGAAATTGCAATAAACCAACCCAATAAACTTTTTAGGGAAGCAAATATCCACTCAAATTGATAGAGGCGTCAAATTCATATTTGGCCTATAAATAATCCGATTCAAATTTCAACTCGTATAAACATAAATCAAACTCGACCCACTTACCTAAATTGACATGTCTATTCAAACACGTGAAAAACATCCTAGACACCATTATACAAAATTACAAAACCTTAGAACTATACATAAAAACAACACGAAAGCGAATGTGACTAACCAATTAGCCAGGCAATCAACATGGGTAGAAAATCGGGCCGTATTAGTTACAGGTATTACTTATAGAAAACGGGCCTGGTCCAAAGAGTCCGGTAATCAGTGATCTTCTGATCTCAATCTCCCACCAAAAAAGGAAAGCTTTCTGAAGAACTTCCCTAAAACTGGAAATCGAAGTGAGCTCAGAAATATGGCGATTTCCAAACGGATCATATTTCCTGCTCTACTATGGCTTCTCGCTCTCTTCGGATTCTTACTTCTTATTCTGGTATTTCTCATTATCTTTGTTTCCAGATTTTTTGTATCTTTAATTTTATACTAAACTTTATAATTTCATGTTTTTTCAGCTTCAATCTCTCAATTTATTGGAGTTTTTCTTGATTTAATATGATGAATTTCATCCTGTTAAATCCAATTTCTGTTTGATTCAAGAAAATTTACAAAAAAATTGTAAATTTGTATACTTTTTTTTTTCATTTAATGCTACATTTTGGATTGAACTAATTGCAGAATCATTTAAGTGATCCTGGGTCACCTCAATTGCAAAAAACTAGCGATCCACTCGTAAGTAGTGAGCATTTAGGGACTGGTAATGAGGTGAGCTTATAGTTTGTGTTTGATTTGGTATCACCCTTTTGAGTTATTAGGTTTTTTTTTTTTTTTTTTATTTATTATTTTTTTTCCCCCCTGCAATTTTACATGTTATATGGTCAATTGGTGTTTATTTGATTGGAAAGTATGTGTTTTAGGGTAAGGCGTCGGATGGTGGACTGAAAGAAGTCACTCACCGTGTTTTCTTTGATGTCGAAATCGATGGGAAATTTGCTGGTATGTGCTGTTTTTAACATATACATTTGAGATTTGTTTGAATTCTTGATGAGGTTTTGAGGTGTTTTATGAGTAATGTGGCAGCTGGTAAATGAAAAAGAAAAAAGAGGTTTAGATTATTATTGCGTTAGAATGTTTACTCGTGATCAAAATAGCTAAGAAAGATATTTTGTTGGTAAGGTGTGGATTTTGTCTGCAAGTATTCGCTGAAAGTGTTGGTTTTTGCTAATAAACTAGCAATCTAGCATATAGTGTTATTATGTTGCAAAATAATTCACAATCCTGACAGTTCAATAGCATAGTTTTCTGTCACGGCCTGTATTTTTATTATACTTACTTTTGCGTGGTATGGTCAGCTTGAGGTATGTTAGCTATATGCAGGCTTAATAGGGAGGAGGCCTTTTTCATAAGACTTTAATTTATATAGGCATTTACACCTGTAAATTTGCTACAAAGTAAAAACAAGTAGCGAAAAGTCTAGCAAAATAATTGAATAAGCCAAATTTTACAGCAATCCCACTTAAACTATCAAATGTGGGCCTGTGGCCATTTTCCAGCACCAGGAACATCTTTTTCTTAATGAGATATCGATCGAATAGCCCTCAAAAGGAGCTATTTCAGCAATGATAGAGTTTTCTTAGAAAAGGTGTCATTATTCCTAAAATGATGCATCTAACCATGCCTTCACATGCTTTAATTGTGAAAATGACACAAGCGGAGTTCTCTTGTCTTCGCAAATCACAAGACTCTCAGCTTTGATCTAGAGTTGTCAAGTAAGATAGCTACGTCTTGCCCTTTGTCAATACTAATGCATGTATCCACATGCAAAGTTAATAATAAGTTATATGACTGGGACCTTGTCTCTGCAATAAGCCTCGATAAGGGTTTAATGCTCAATACACCGTACCTCCAAAATATTTGCATAAGATAGGAACATCTGCACTAGATGGCAGATTTAGTTATGCTTCAGACTTGTGCAATATGGGATTTTACCTAGCTGGAAGCATTAGTGACTGTTGAGTTTGAATTATTCAATGTAGACTTGGCAATTTCCTCCATTTTAACCAAGTATGGATGTTCTTTTCACCTGTTAATTGTTTCAGTTCTTCTGGATGGGGGATGGGTCATTGGTGGAGATAGGGGGAAGATGTAGGAGAAATAAAAGTTAAGCTCTTTCCAACATAACTTCAGTACTGTAAACTATGGAGTAATTAAATTGAACTCATCTTCCTTTTCCTAAGTTAATTTATGTTCTTTATATCCAATTGAAGGATTTAGTGTCTTCATAACATTTTAAAGCAACATAATATTGCTTTATTATTTGCTGGCTTAGAGACATAAGAGTTCATATGACAGTAACTGTCTAAAACTCTATCATGTATTGAAAAGGAATTGGCTGGGCTCTTCTAGATTTGCAAGATCAAGATGGCTCATTAAAGAATTCCATTGAGCACACATTTAGATTTCCTAAGAACAGTCCCAAATCAATAATCTCCACTGCTTTATATTATGGAACTATGTGATTGACAATTCCATTATGTGGAGGGAATCTGATTATTATTTGTGTATTTTTCAGGACGAATTGTTATGGGCCTCTTTGGAAAAACAGTCCCCAGAACTGTAGGTACAGTTTCTCAGTTCACTTTAATGCTCAATGTTTAATAACTTCACTGGAAAATCATTCAGTGTCGTTCTTTAAAACTTAACTGATGAGAAAATCTATTTTTTTGCAGAGAATTTTCGAGCGCTATGCACGGGTAGCCATGTAACTTTTGGTCCCTTTCTTTTAGTTTTGCCTCTATTCGTGGATTTGATTGCTGCAATGAGTATCCACAAATTTCCTGCTATATCTAATTTCCTTACTGTACTTCGTTTGAAGAGAATGATCTTCAAAAATATTTAGGCTTTGAGGCTAGTGTTCTTCTTTTTGCATGTTCTACCCAGATGATTAACGCGTCTTGTACATGGGTTTCTTGTGATTTATCCATTCGGCCATCCGAGCATGGATTATCTGAATCTATTACTCTTTAATTAAAAACATACAATTCTGCAGTCAAATAGTTGCTTTGTAAATTGTTTGGTGATCTGAGTGAATGTTGTTTTAGAAGCATATTTGTTATGACTTTACTAGTAATTAAAGAACCAAAAATATGGCAATGACTGAGAGTAATTGGCTGTATATTGTAATAAAATCCACATGCCATTGCCGCCTTTGCAGCTTCAGAATCCTTTTAGAAGTTTTACTTTTTGCCTCTACTCATCTTACTATTCAAGAATAATATGGAGAATCAACCATGTTTGACAACATATTCATGAAAGTTTGCATTTCTTGCTGGCATAAATGTTAGTGTGAGCTAAACTTTACAATATAGGTTATGGATTATATAAAACCAACTAGAGCTGAGGTGACTGACTGAAGTAGATCAGAATAGCTTTGTTCCAACATTGAATTTTTATGACTTATAAGTAGATCACTTTTTATTGCAGGGGAAAAAGGAATTGGAAACAGTGGGAAACCTCTGCACTTTAAAGGAAGCAAGTTTCACCGGATCATTCCAAGTTTTATGATTCAGGGTGGTGATTTCACTGTTGGTGATGGCCGCGGTGGAGAGTCTATATATGGTGAGAGGTTTGCAGATGAGAACTTCAAACTGAAACACACTAGTCCAGGTAGCATAAATTACCACACATTTTCATTTAATACTGGAGCTGTTTTTTGTGAGGGGCAACATGTTTATCTTAATTAATCTATATATTTGCTTTATGAGAATGCACCAGTGAAGCTAGCTTAAAATTTCGTTTGGCTAGCCTTTTACCTTTTCTTTTGTGCAAAACTTAGCCTTGGTGTGATTAATTGTTCAAGAGTTATCTTTCTGAGGAAGTGGGTATGCCATGGGCACATGCCTTGACAAACTAGCTCCACTGCTACTAAACCGTAATGCTTCTATTAATGATTATGGTATTATATTGCAAAAATATGATCTGCAATTGTTTGCATAGCGGTTATTCTCTCATAGTTGAAAAAATCTTATTGTTGCTTACTTTGGCCAGGACTTCTTTCAATGGCAAATGCTGGACCAGATACCAACGGATCACAGTTCTTTATTACAACTGTTAAAACAAACTGGTAAGTTGATAAGTATTGGTTTCTGTTATATGTAATTTGTTTATAAAACGGTGAGAGAGAGGGGCAGAGGGTGGAGGGCAGTTGGAATTGAGGCTCTCTTGTTCCTTTCTTTTAAAATTTCTTGTTTCTTCTTATCAAAATCCAGAACTTAGCTTGGCAACCATCCATAATACTTGGCGGTGTTGTGCATATCTAACTATTATTGCATATTTTTGGCTGTTCATATTTTTTGTGGATGCCACAACCCAGGTTCTGCCAAGTGGTCATCTGATTCACATTTTGTTAATTTTGCTATTAATTTAGTTCAATTAAGTTTATGAGTATTGGGAAAACAATATATTTACACAATGCTTTGATACTTAAACTAATTATGATATAAGAGTGGAAATTAATTTACAAAAAACGTTAACGTCTAGGAGCAGAATTTTGATGCCAAGTCCAAATCACCAAAAACCCAACCAAAATAGACTTTTGCCCTGGCACAGTAAACACCTGTCACATTGTGCTAAATTTGTCCCAAGCTGCATGTCGACATGATTTTCTTTCAGCTTTAGATGAGGTTGTGTTGGTTTGTGGAGCTTTTGGAGGAGATATTAGATTATTAGACAAGTGGGACTCAATTCTAATAAACCTTGAGTCCTTGATGCATGCTGAGGTTGTAATAATTTTTCCATTTGTGGTTGCACATTTGAGGTTGGACGGACGGCACGTTGTGTTTGGTGAAGTGTTGTCAGGAATGGATATTGTCCACAAGATTGAGGCGCGTGGTACACAAAATGGGATCCCAAGAGGCAAAGTTGTCATATCAAATTCCGGTGAAATAAAATCATCATCATCTTGAGTACAGAAGGCGTTGCACATCTTCACTCAATAGCCCTTGGAAGCTGGCACCAGTGAGATACAGCAGACTTTTGATATTTCTTGGACGAACATATACTAGCATCTTGTACAATGTTGACATTATTGTAATCCCAGCATAATATGCCACTATGCCACTTACCATATCAATATTTCTTTTTTTTTTGTTGCAACATCCTGCACTTTCAAATGTTTCAATACATTCTTCATTATTCTGAAAGCTATGCAGGAGATCATGTAATGGCATAAATACATTACTGTAAGCGGAGTCTTATAAAACTAGCATATTTCTTCATGACGGGTTGATTAAGTTGTTGCCTATTGGGGGTTGCTGGTCTAAGTTGATGATTAATGTAGGTGTTTGGCCAATTAGCTGTCGAAATCATTGATTATTCTTCTGTAACAAAGAAAAGTACTCCCAAATGGCCAAGTATTTAGGTAACCCATGGATGGGTGGGTATTCATAACTTATAAGGGTGTCCCAATACTCCCAAATGGTTTAGAGATACTCGACCATAAAGTGGTTGTTACGAGGTGCACCAACCTGGCTGCCAACGTTGCTAGAGACTGACAGAAACTCTAGAAAGATCAGCTTCTTTGGACTGCTAGAGTGCTAGTTCCCTGTGGGAATTAGTTGCACTGGGCCATGACAGTTTCATGTACTAGATTCGAGTCATTCAACTTCTTTTTTTTTTTTTTTTGACGGAAAAGAAGCTAGATTAGTTACTTAAATTGTTTAATTCATCTTGATGGGGAACATAACATGGTATTTTTCTTATCACCTATCATATCATATCAATAGGTAACAAATAAAAATGTAGATATCATATCACACATTTGCAGCATTTATGTAATTTTTTTCAATGCCATTCTCTCTTTGCTTAGACTCCTTATCCAGTTATCCGTATTCTTCAAATAATCAAATGTGCTAATGCAAGAGAATTAGATGCCAGGGTACCATGCTGCACTTTCAACCTCCACCTATGTCCTTTTCAAAGATGCTTACTGCTTTTACCAAACCTTTTCACCTGTGTTTGATCAAGATTCATATAAAAATCAGATCTCTTAAATTTGTCAACTAGATTCCTATATTACGACATTGAATACAATCAACGCGCTCCCCTCTTACAAACGCGGAAAAAATATCTCACTTCTAGTGTGGTGTGTAAGATATTTTGGAAATATCTCACTAAACTTGAACATATCCCATAAACGAGTTTAAGTTGAAATTTTTACGTCTAACCTAAAAAATATATTTTTTCGGTTAGATTAAGGGATTTGCATCCTATTTGTAATCAACAGAGACACTAACTTGACTTGATACGATTTGTTTATTATTTCTAACTACATAATAGATGAACTATATAATCGTCTATAAATCAAGTCGTGTGTACCAGATACTAGCCTTCAAGTGTACAAGATTAAAATTCCAATTTTCTAACAAATACAAGAAAGAGAATTGATCATTTACCGGAATTCTAGCCTGAAAGAGCCTCCCTCACAAAGCAAAGAAATACAGCAAACATAATCATGTTGTGTTCACTGTCAAGTGACTTGTTCAACTAGAATCCAAGATAAAAAGTTGGCTCATTAAAGAGCACCAAACAAAAGATCATGCGTAAAGTGCTCCATTTCATTTTCATTAGCATCAATTGGGACCAATTCAATACACTAGCAAATTCTAGCAGATTAGATTTTCATGAATCAAAATGTAAATGCCCCTGCCAACATGGAAATTTTTCATAGGCACAAAATCCTACTACAACGTTTTTGTTAGACTTTAATTTGTAGATGGGGAGATCAGTGACTATTCGTCTTAATATGAATATAGATAACTTCAAATACAAGTATAAACTTCATCTATGTCTTTTATGATTGTTGGTAAAGAGGAAACACGTTGTTTTAGTAGTTCATGTGATAAGAAAATAGATAAAGAATGATAGAAGGAATTCGTATGTGATGAAGATATAAATAGTTTGAGATCACATACAACAATACAAGTTAACGTAACAATTATATTGGAACATCCTTATATATATAAATGGGTGTGTGTGTAAACGGGTGCACAATACAAAATTTGATCCACACCTACTAGATTACGCTATAATGCTCCATAAAATATTTTGTTAATTGGTATTCCATGTTACAAAAAAAAGAAAGTCAAAATATGTTCATCAAGTCATCATCACTTAATCGGTTTTAAATGTGTTTCATGTTGATTGCTTTTCTTCATCTATCATCAATCCTGGCTCCAGCTATCAAAAATAGACACATCAAGTGCTAATTATCCTGATGTTTCAGGGTGCTAATCCTGAGATTACACATTTCTAGAATTGACTAAGCATGAACAAATGGGCAATTTCATGCCAATTATATGATCCTCCAATCTATGACATATATTGTCAATTTCTAACTTCATCCTTTACTTTCTGTTCAATGATTGATTGGTTTTTTTCTTTTAATCAAAGTTGGTCTATATTTAAATCATCTAGTACTGTATTACAATACCTTTATCGTGGGAGTTATTTTTTATAAGAACTAACGAAAGGTCGGATTAAACCATCATAAATATATATATTATCCTCCTTCTAAAAGTTTGAAATATATACATTAATTTTAGTTAAGAGTTTTTTGCTCCGTCTGAAATTAGATTAAATTCGAACAAATGTAGTACGGAGGAAAAAAAGAATGATAAGATTTTTAAATCATAATAAATCAAACCCACATAAAACTCATACCGATTCATTACCAAACTCATACCGATTCATTACCAATCAATGGTCATCCTTACATCACAAAGCTTAAATTACATGTAGTACATAAAATTGAACAAAGGAGCCAAATTCCCCTTCTTATTTTTATTTTTTTTTCCTTGAGAAAACTAATTAGTAGCAACTAGTACTATTTATTAGTAATAAATCACACCAAGGCAGATAATCTTTTTTATTTTTTACATTCCCCCTTTACTCGTTATCCCTCCTCCCATTGCTACTTCCTCCCTTTCCTCCACCTCCTTGCCGTTGCTGCTTCACCCTGCCGGTGAAATTCCCTGACAACTCGGAGTAAATCGACGCGACTTTTGTAATGTTCCCATTCAATTCCTGAATGATCGCCACATTCTTAACCATATTATCCGGCATCCTCGACTGATGGTTCTCGTTGGCCTGCTGGATCAACATCCTGTTTCGATCCAACACCGACTGCACTTGACTAAAACTGTCCGCAAATGCATTCCATGTCTCCGGATCCCTGCAACCGTCGCCGGAGAACTCGTTTGCTGTTCTCCGGCGACGGTTGCCGGCGCCACCAACAGACCCCATGTTCTGTTGGCGATCGCCGTCGTCTAAGCTCGAATCAGCTCTCGAGTAAGACATCTTGGTCAAACTTTATTGTATTTTTTATTATTATTTTTTTTCAAGCTACCATAGGAGGCTACTTGGAGCTCTGGTTTGAGGAGAGAGACAGGGGTAGAAGAGGGTTTATATAGAGGTGACTCATCAAATGAGGCGCGTGGAAAAGATGTTGAAAAAGGGGAAATTTGGAATTTCTCACGCGCTGAGGGTGAGAGTGGGGGAGAGTAGAGGTGAAATATCCAAGGGTGGAGATATTTTTGTAATGAAAAAGTGCAAAAAGAGCAAAAGCGATTCTGCCACGTAAGATGGGAGGGTGAGATGGTTAATACGGTGTCGTTTTGGGTATACTATGAATTGTAAGCAACTAAGCACCTTTTTGATAAGCTCTGGTTGAATAGTCTTATGGATAAAGTTTCTGGTCAACCTGAGAAAAAAAATTGATGCACCAATAATTAAAAATAAGAAATACAGGCTGGACTTTGAAATTGACATAGACATATTACATACAACTCAATACAAGTATTATAGCATGTGTGTGCTTTTAACTTGTCGTTATTATTTAGGTAAACTTTTATGTACAATTGGTTGTATACTTGTATTATGTGTAATGATGCAATCAAATTAAAATTTTAGTACTACAATCAAATTAAAATTTTAGTACTACATATTTATTTTTACGCCGTTACCTTGTGCACAGATAACTAAAAAATAATTTTGATTTTACCTTATAACAAATGATTATTTAATGAATAATATAGTCCATAATTATATGCTAATTATTTCACTAGAGATGTTTTACGCATTCTTGTTCATTTTGAAGTTTGAAATCCATTGAATACATTAAACTTTTACAAAGTGCTGAAAATGGATTGAACTGAGGGGATTAAACTCAATTCCCACACTTTAAAGAAGGAATTCAAGCTAATCAAAGGGTTTTTAAACAATGAGATGAGAATACTATCTCACTAACAATAATCTACATTGTTCAATATTGCTATGGCCTATATAATGGATTCCCTTAAAAATTATTATTAGCACCAACATAAAAAAAAAAAAAAACATTGACATATACTAAGCACAAATTCTAAGTCCCTATCATGTTACCCACTTACCCCTATGGTTTTTTTTTTTTTCTATATAATTTTTTTAATGGTAAAGAGACTTTAACCCTCATGATTAGTCTGTCTTAGGGAGTCCCTATCCTCAAACTTCCTCACTTGTCAGGGTTTGAACTCCAAGCACTCTAAGGTAATTAGTCTTACCAATATTATTGAACTTATATGAATTTCAATTCATCTATTTTTTTTGAAATAACATGAAACAAACAAACCCTTGTTTTTACTTATTTTAGGCAAAATAAACTCAAATAAAAGTTTTTAAATTTAATTAAAAAAATCGATAAATTCAAACAAAGAATATACCCTAAATTGAGCCAAATATTACCAAGATATTTATGGATTGAATATTGAGATTAGTGCTTCCTTGAGGAAAAAAAAAAAAGAAAAAAAGTTTACCACTAAGTAATAGTGAGGAGCATGCAATAACATTTTTGAAGAATCACAAAAAAGGAGCAACATATTTACGCCACGGTAGCAACTAATGTTTTTAATTTTATTTTACTTGTCTTCTCATGATGTTATCTCACAATATTTCCTCTTTCACTTTTTCCTTATCATTCAAGATCAAACCGTGCATCATCTTTTAACATTCTTGGTCCTCTTAGATAGTTGGAATAACATGCTAGTCATTTGCTATTGTTTAGTTAAAAGATGATGTTTTGGTAATATAGCACTTTAGGTTCATTGCATATTTTATAGCATAGTGACTAGTGAGCACTTTAAACATCAACTTTTGAATATAAACAAATAATATAATAAATGAAAAGTTTATTGTGGGACGAATAGAATACATAAACCAGATGAAAATAACTATGATAAGAATGTTTAATAAATTGTTGTGGTGAACTAATAAATCCTCTATCGCATTTTATATCGCACTCGAATACACTTCTTCAAATCAACATAGGTCGGCCAAATACATGTTTGGTGGGTGCATATATAGAAGTGATAAAACAATGTCGTATATGAACATATGTGAAAATTTAAATATCCATTGGGGATTTAATCCTCGTCTACTCAAATAATTGTACACATACAGATGTTTCACAATCAATATGTACTCTTTCTTCATTGTATACATCATCAACAAATAAATTTTATGAGAGTAAGATCAAAATATGACTTTTACCTTATACAGAGTATAACTGTTCATATAAAGGCAAAAAAGATGTTATACGAATTATTATTACTATGTACTTAACAAAATTATATGTTCTACTTATGTTAAGTACATAGTAATAATAATTCTCTATAATATATATATTCAAAATGAATACTTTAATAATTATATGTTCTACTTATGTGAAGTATATAGTAAAAAGAAACACTCCCGTCAAAAAAAATAAAAAAACAAAAAAAAAACTCATTCAATTTGAAAACAATATTTATACTTATCCACAACGCTAATACTACCCAAAATTACATGTACTCGGAACATAGTTTGTATTTCTTTATCCATCATCCAGTGGATTCCAATCTACCATGTACCTTTCCTGACTTCATCATTTAAAGAAAAAATAGGTGGTTGGATTAAACATATTGGTAGTCTTCTAATTCATACGAAGTAATAAAGAACAATTAATTTGCTTAATTGTCATCCACGCAATCATCAATATTCTATTCATATTGAACTTTATCAAACATGTAAGACAATTTAATTTCAGGTTAGGAAATTAAAAATTGAAAAAAAAAAAAATTAACAAAACATTTTTAGATAAACTCTTAGCCAAATTCATTTCCAATCAATGTTCATCCTTACATCACAGCCTCATTGCACAAAATTTAACAAAGGAGCCAAATTCCCCTCTTTTTTAGCTCCTCATTTTTTTTCATGTAATTTTTTGAGGGATCTAATTACTAATTACTCTGATTATTATTAGTACTAATTAATTAATACATAAAAGCTACACAAATTTCTTTCTAATTACCCCTCCCATTACTACTCCCTCTTTTACAACTTCCCTTCCCTCCACCCCCAGCCGGTTGTTGCTGCCTCACGCTCCCGCTAAAATTTGCCGACAAATCGGAGTAAATCGACGCGACTTTCGTAATATTCCCGTTCAATTCTTGGATGATCGCCACATTCTTTTTCATATTGTCCGGGAGCCTCGACTGGTGGTTCTCGTTCGCCTGCTGGATCAACTTTTGGTTCCGATCCAACACCGTTTGCACCTCGCTAAAGCTCTCGGCGAAGGCGTTCCACGCTTGTGGACCTCCGCAACCGTCGCCGGAGAACTCGTCCATGTTGTGGGTGGCGGTTCTCCGGCGACGGTTGCCGTCTTCCATACTCGATTCGACTCCTGAGTAAGACATCATAGTCAAACTTTTTTATCTCTCACTTCTTCTTTAAGAAAGCTATGTGGAGGAGCTTTGATTTGAAGCAAGGGAAAGGGTAGAGGAAGGTATTTATAGAGCCGTAGAAATGTGCGTTATCTACATGTGGCGCGTGGGAAAAATGGTGTTTAATGGGGTAAATTGGAATTTTTTTCACGCGCCTTAAGTGAGAGTATGGAAGTTTGAGGTGAAATATCTATGGGTGGAGATATTTTTGGCAGAAAAAAGTGCAAAAAGAGCAAAAGCGATTCTGCCACGTAAGATTGAGAATCGGGTTATGTTGCGACGTCGTTTTGTTCACGAGAGTCTTCTAGGAATCTAAGGTGAAAAAAATCTTTGCTTGAATTTGACTTTAATAAAAATGAAACAAGAAATGTAAAAGTGTCTCTTGATGCACTTCAATCGACATTGTAGAATTTTTCCATGGATAATTTCAACTATTTTATATCTAAGTCTTTAGAGCTTGTGTGTGTTAAGTTATCCATAATAAATTACATTTGAGGAGATAAATTGACTTGTAATGATAAGTTATCCATGACAATTAACATTGAAGTTAGTTGACTTCTAATATGTTATTAGCAAACATTAGTTGTTATTGTAATTTGAAAACGATATAGTGTACAAGACTACAGGGACATACGAAGTGTGAAATTCTATATACAAAGTATTTTTTTAGTATTTTTTTTACAGAAATATATATGGTCGATTATACATAATAATAGCTATAAATATAAATCGGAAAAATTATGTTAGGGTTTGTGTTGGTGGTTTTATATAGTCATTACTCATTTGTATGGAGTTAAAAATTTAAATTAAGAGAGTGTACCTTGACTTTTTTGTATAGATCAGACGAAAATATCTACATACACCTTATAAATTAGTAATGCCAAAGGTTTACACTATTACATTATATCGGGGAGCAAAGATATTTTTGGAGAATCAAAAAAGTGCAAAAGAGCAACACATTTATACCATGGCAACAACCATAAAAAGTTTATTTCTATGAGCATCTCCTTATATACGGCTTGTCCTTTGTTTATCCCACAAGCCTTTCACTTTTCACTTTATCATTCTATTTGACACAAAAACTCCATCTCTAAAATCAAATTTTGTAATGATAAACAAATCAACAATATTCTCATACTAATGCAAAGTATAATCTATGCGATTATAAATTTCTAACATTTGAAAGTCGTACAATAATACGTCGTATTATAGGTTTATTTATATTATATTTCATTGTCAAAAAAATAAAAATATTATACTTTATGATAGAGAATATCCGTAGAATATTCTCCTCCTAGGTTTAGGATATATTTTGTATAAGAATATCATTACATAAGATAATTATTGACATGACTTACTTCCTTTCATCTATTAAATGACATTTTTTGCACCCAATTAATAATTAAAGTTGAAAGCGAAAAAAATAAAGTAGTACAACGAAATTATTGAGAGAGTTCCATAACATTAAGCTCTTGATGTATCAAATTTCTTAAATTATTATAAGATCACAATAATAAGCATATTATTTGGTACTTGCATGCTAAATTTACTATGTACGGACTCTACGGAATAACAGAGTTAGAACAATAACCAACTGTTGTGAGTCTTGTGACTGTAGTGAGTATAGTGATTGCGAATGATTAGTGCATGTAAAATTATTTATTTAAAATTATACTGATAGTTCTACCAACGCAGCTGGAATAGCTCAGTTGGTTAGAGCGTGTGGCTGTTAACCACAAGGTCGGAGGTTCGACCCCTCCTTCTAGCGATTTTTTTTTTTCTTCCATAATACAAATACAAATTATACAACAGACCTATCAACTAGACACATAGCATCATGTCATCAACGCTGCCATAAATCCATAATGCCATGACCCATTTCATATGTTCCTAGCTTCGTAACCTTATTCATCAAAATTACGATCTTAACAACTCAGAAAGAACTCACATAATTATGTAATTGTCCTAAAGAGATAAGTCATACTATGTATTGTATTGCAGATTACATAAACGCTAATTTCACATAGAAGTAAGCAAAACCTACACAATAGCTTAGAGAAAATTTCAAAGGATAAATTGAGAATGATGCAACTCTCAAAAAATAATATTTCGTATTAGAACTTCTAAAAAGAGAAGAAATTTATAATTCTATAGTATGCCGTCATTTTAGGTTCCAGTCAATCAAATTTTAAATTCATTTTGAACTTTGAGTTGTCTATAATCATTAACACAGATTTGATATTATGATACAAACGCCATAAAGTTTTACACTTACACCTACTAAACTAATTTTCATTTTCCACTCCCAACAACATGCAGACTGAGATTTACCGTCAAAATAGTTGTTGTTAGGCGTAAACTATATCAACAACAAATTTTTAGACGTGCCACGTACCTAAAAAGTGAGTAATTGTGTTATTTTATCATATATTACCAAATTATCTTAACAATGCCATTTGCATGTCTTTGCACCTACATATTGTTTTATTATTTTTAATCACCACGAACTGGCTAGGTGGCTAATCCAACCGAAATGTCGAATAAATGACGTTATTTTGAGACGGGAGGAGTAAATCGAATATTGATTATTATTTTTTTTGCACATTTGCTGGGTTTATTTAAGCGCGCACGCTACGACTGAAAGAGGAAACTATGCATACAAATTTTGGCGCCTAGAGTCGTTAGCTTCACATACCTCCGTCGAGTTTTCGACTTTCAATTCATTTGCCCGCTGCTGCGCTACTCATAACATCAGGTGATTCTCTCTCCTCTCAATCTCTCTTTCTCTCTCTTTGAGTTTGATGATATGCTTCAGTTATTCAACACACCTTCAACTTTTTTCAAATTACACGTTTGAATCACTTTGAATTATTGAATTCTGTATTGATAATATGCTCATCTCAGAATACGGCATAAGATCGGCGTAATTCTGTTGAATTTAACGTAACATGCCGATTTTAATTGCAAAAAACCCTAAATTGAACCACATTTTGTAAATTAGACTCAATTGATGTTCGTCGCTATAATTCATGATCAATACTTAAATTCTGGTTGATTTTCTGTTTTTGGTTGATTTTCTGTTTTTGGTTGATTTTCTAGGGTTTTAGTTTGCGAAACTATGGAATCATACAACCTTAGGTCAGTGTTGGAGTTGCCTGCTCCTTTCAGATCAACCTTCGATTTCAGGTACTATTCTTAAAATTAATCTCTCTTAATTTTCCAGCGCAATTAATTTTTATTTACAACTAATTTGTTGGTTTTCGTACCCCGAGTTTGATTTTTGCTTCATTCTCACGCTAATTTTAGTCTGAACACTCAAAATTTGGCAGAATTATGATCATTATTTCGCTATTTATTTACGTTTATTACTACTAATTTGTTGTGAATCATATTTTTGGAGTTGATTTCTGTGTCTTTGATTTATGCTAATTGAGGATCAACTTTCAAAGTTTCCAAATTATGATATATTTTCATCTTAGTTGCTATTTTGAACATCGTCATCTTTGCCATTATATTGATTTTTTGATATGGAATTTTATTTTTATTCTCATTGCATAAATAGGTTCTGATTTGTTGTTTTTATGAATTGCCGCTTTGATTCATACATGTCAATTCTCAATAGTTTAGTTATTAATTTTATAGGTAGTAGTTCATTTATTTTTTTTCTTATTGGCTTTATTTGTAGCCTTGTAGGCTCATTTTATGAAATGAATATGATATTTTTTTTATCTTTATACATGACTACATGTTCTGTGCTAATCTATCCAATTTCGTCTTTTCCACTGTATCCATATGGATATCTTTCAATATGTGACCAAATCCTTCTGTCTTGCAAGAACTTATGAGTGTTTGTTTTGGCGTGCTAAATTTATAATTGGTTTATTGTAACTGCACTGATATTCTACATGGTGGTAGATATTTCAATTCTCTGCAGAGTGAATGCTTTCCTTGCTGTTTCCTCTCCGATGTAAATATGGTCGTTTCTGCACCAACTGGAAGCGGTAAAACAGTGCTATTTGAGCTGTGCATTTTAAGGCTCCTCTCAAAGTTTCTTTCAGCAGACGGGAGATTCATCCATGTGAAGGGCACCCTGAAAACGGTAACTTTTCATTGGTTGGTTTTCCTTTGGTCGATCATGTAATTGTTTGTACCTTATATAACGCTTCCTGAATTTTTTCTAGGTAATATGAAACACTTAAAATTTTCTTCCCATTTATGACATAAACTTCTTGGGCATTATTGGTAGAAACATCCATAATATCTAAGCTGGACCGATATAGTCAATTTAATCCTCTAATCTGCAGCGAATGGTGGTGAATGCTTCTGTTTTTCTTAATTGATTGATTACTGGAATATTTCTCCCTGAATGATTTATTTTTTCACTACCTATAAGCATCAAACACTTTCATTAATCATCATTACTTTGGAGCACTGCATGACTTTATGTTCACGAGAGAATAGAGATCAGTCCGTGCTTCATTTTGTTCAATTTTCTCCATATCAGTCATTGACTAGTATTATTGCTTCTTGACAGATCTATATAGCACCTTCCAAGGCTTTGGTACAAGAGAAGCTTAGGGATTGGGATCGGAAGCTAGGTGCATGGGGCATAAATTGCCTTGAGATGACTGGGGACAATGATTCGTACAATACAAAGAATATTCAAGAAGCAGACATAATTCTAACAACTCCTGAGGTACACATGATATATTCCTAGCATCCCAGGGTTTATTTTCATAAGATGTAATAAGTGATACTTTGTGCCCTTGTCTTTCACAGAAATTTGATGCCGTGACTCGCTATAAAATAAAAGATGGTGGCTTGAGTTTTTTCAGTGACATAGGACTTTTATTCATCGATGAAGTTCACCTATTAAATGATCCACGTGGTGCTGCTTTGGAAGCAATAGTGAGCAGGATAAAAATGCTTTCTTGCAGACCTGAAATGAAATCAATCCCCCTGGCTCATGTACGTTTTATAGCTGTTTCAGCAACAATTCCAAATCTGGAGGACCTAGGTACACTTTAATTGAACACTTCCTGTTCGTTAGAACTTGGTCGTATCTGATTTGATGATGGATGATGATCCTCTCTGCAGCGGAGTGGCTAGTGGTTCCTCCTCAAGGAATGAAAAGGTATTTCATGATCTCCTATCACCCAATTTGACTGGTGATGTGTTGTTCAAATTTTAATTAATTACATAGCTCATTTGTTTTATGGTATTCTACAGGTTTGGTGAAGAAATGAGACCAGTAAAACTGACTACCAAAGTTCTTGGTATTTGCAGAATTTTGTACCTGATATTCTAGCTCATAACTTGACAGGGAATTAAAAAAAGCAAATTCCTATTTTATTTTGCAAAAACATCATGTAATTGATAATGGATGAGTTTCTCAGCATGATTTATCAATGTTTTGACTATCTACCTGTTACCTTATTTATCATACAAATTTGTTCCATTAATGCCTTTCTTCTATCATTAGCTTTTTTGTTTTTTTCATAAGTTTGATATCCTGCTTCTTATTTCACCTGTCAATGTCTTTTATAGGGTATGCAGCAGCCAAAAATGATTTTCTCTTCGAAAAGGCATGAGTCTTAATCTGACTAAAAGCAAACTGATTATTTAACCAGATACACTGTTCTATTGCTTTGTTGATAGAGTAAATTTCTTTGGCATGTTGGTTAGAAGCTCTGGAAGGTCATCGACTTTCCACTTTATGTTGCTGTCATTGCTGATTTTTGCTTTGTTGCCCTCTTTCAGCGCCTCCAGAACTACATCTTTGGTAAGTTTAGGTCATATAGCTTAGAGCCAGAGTTAACTAGTTCTTTTTTCTATATCAAATTCATTAGAATGTTATTTTTTTTTTGCAGATATTTTGATGCAATATTCTAGAGGAAAATCTGCTTTAGTTTTCTGTTCGACCAGAAAGGGAGCACAAGAAGCAGCACAGAAGATCTCTCAGACAGCCATGACCTTTGGGTATTCAAATCCATTCATCAAGACAAATGAGCAACTAGAGAGATTGAGGGAAGCCTCATTGTCATGCAGTGATAAACAGCTGCAATCATACATTCTCTATGGTGGTATATATTTGACCTAATCGGAAACCATTTTAAACATAGTTAGTCTCAATATTTTGTTATACTGGACATCTTTTTTGTTCATAAAGCCTATTGGATGTTTACAGTTGGTTATCACAACGGCGGTCTTTGCATGAAGGATCGAAACCTTGTAGAGAATCTTTTCCTTAATAGTGATATTCAAGTTCTTTGCACAACAAATACGCTAGCACATGGAATCAACCTACCGGCACATACAGTGGTGATCAAGTCTACACAGCACTAGTATGTTTACACATCCTTTTTTAAATAAATTGAATGAAATGTGGAGTATAGTACTGTCTTTGATCTGCGGTATCTTTATCTCCAGTAATAAGGAAAAAGGCAGCTACATGGAGTATGACAGATCCATTGTTTTACAGGTATATCATTAATTGCACTTCACTCTTTCAACTTTCTGACTTCTGAATCTGTACCATCTATAAAATACATTCCATCCAGGGTTCCTTGTGTTATTGGGATTATTCCTACAATGTAACTTGCCTTCTACTTTTGTGTGGACACTAGGCTGCATAATCCTTTTCCATAATCACATGACTATCAAATTGGAAAGACATTTGTTGAATGTAATCTAATCTATAAAACCTATTAAAAAGTTCTATACAGTGTGAAATTATGAAGTTAAAAACCCCTCAATATTTGCATCTGTTTACCAAAGTTTTAATTTATCATACCAAGTGACACCTCTTAAGGTACGATCTTAATATAATTAAGTCAGTAAGACACTTACGAATCTTAATAACCTAAATGTCAGCTTACCAATACACAGAAAACAAAATATTGAAACTGGTGCTATAATCTTCACTTTTATGTGAGAAACAGCTATGCTTGACAATAAGATGAGTGGAAAAAGGAATTGTACAAGAAAGTCTCAGTGATGAAGGTGAGGAGTGGAGAATAATGGAAGCTATGCCTACAAAGGAGGGAGTTTAAAGCTATTATACTTGGACTTAGGTATTCTTGTTTGTCTCGGGTAGTTGTTCTAGGGTCCAAAAGTAAGCATCAACAGTCAAGTGTTCATAGTCATGCTGAAGTGTTGAGGATCTTACATGGATACTTGTGGTGGAATTAAGAGTTCGATTCGCAAAGGTTCAAACCTCTTTAGAAGCAAATGAGAAGGAGAAAAGAAGGTGTTGAATTTTTTAATAAATTGGACCTTCTTTTAATAATTTTATTTCATAGAAATGGAATTTTCAACACCTCTTGGGATTATTCTGAAAGAATGAAGAGTAGGTATTATTTTCGGCAGTCTAATCACTTCAGACAATTCTTGTACAGTCTTCAATAACTCAAGTAAAAAATAGGTAGTAAAATGGTCAAAGAGTTGGTATTCCCATAATTTATTATGCTTGAATGGTCAGTTCTATTTCTTCAGCTTCCAGAAGGCAGGGATTTTTGCAGTTTATAACTCAACTAAGGAATGCAAAATGTTTCAGACATAAGTTCAGCATTCTTCACTTGAGAAAAGAAGATTATATAGTTGTTACATATCCCTGTTCTGAATCTGTTGTCTTTATGTGTATCTTTATTATTATATCATGTTTGACGTAACCCGGTAACCTTGCAGATGTGTGGTAGAGCTGGTCGTCCACCTTTTGACGATACAGGACTGGTTATCATCATGACAAGAAGGGAAACAGTCAGTCATAACCTGATCTCCCCTAGCCCATAATGATCAAATTTGTACTTCTTACTTGTACTCTTTCCTAGTTTTATCTTTAATAATGTTGATCCTTAATCTGATTTTCAAACTGCTCATGCTACACATTTCTTTTAGGTACATTTGTACGAAAATCTTTTGAATGGATGTGAAATTGTAGAATCACAGTATGTATGGACCTTCAAAATTCATTATGCATACTTCTATACTTTATATAGGCATTTAAATTTTATATGACATAGTTTCTCTACTGCTAGATTACTGTCTTGCATAATGGAGCACTTGACTGCGGAAATAGTACAGCTAACTATCCCTGACATTACACGGGCAATTGAATGGATGAAGTGTTCATACTTGTATGTCAGGATGAAAAAGGCAAGTATCTTGAAATATACACCGTTAGTCACTTTGTAAGAATTGTCTTGCCTAATTCTTTCAGTACCTTCAGAACCCAGAGACTTATGCTATTCAGAAAGGGATTTCAAGAGACCGTATAGAGTCTCATATGCAAGGTACTAATTTCACAGTTCCCCCCCCCCCCCTTTTTTTTGGGGTGCTGTTTTCGATAGTATAACTGCATTCCAGACAGTAATATAATTTAGATCTTATCTAATGGTACATATGACTGGTTTATTGCTTGCTGTCACAGACATTTGTGTTAAGAAAGTCAATGAGTTATCAAGAAACCAGTTGATCTGGACTGATGAAGACGGTTTCCTCTTGAAGCCGCTTGGTAAGCCTGGCTCATAAATAGCATTTTTCAACATAATCTTATGCCTCACATGATTGTATCCTCTCTTGACCATTAAAGAGGGGGTGGGGACAGGTTAGTGCACTAACCAGCTGTGCTGAATAAACTTTCAGAGCCTGGAAGATTGATGACGAAGTATTATTTGAAATTCAACACGATGAAATACATTATGCAGACTCAATCAAACTGCAGCCTAGAAGATGCACTTCATGTTGTTTGCCGAGCAGAGGAGTTAGCTTGTATGTACGGAGTATATTACTTTTTGTGCAATTTCCTGCTATATGGAGAGCTGATTTACTCCTTTAATTGGTGAATGTAGGGATACAGCTTAGACGCAATGAGAAAAAGCTTCTAAATGATGTCAATGCTGACAAAGATGGTCGCCTTTGTTTTCACATCCTTGGAGACAAAGGAAAAAAGAAAAAGCGCATTCAGACAAGGGAAGAGAAAATATTTGTTTTGGTCAATGATTGCTTGACTGGAGATCCTCTGGTCCATGATTTATCCTTAAGCCAGGTCTGGTCATATCGTTACTTATTGAATTCAGTCTATTTATGAGTGGCTTGACCTCAGGCTTATGCACTGTGCTCTGGTTCATGTTCATACAGGATGCAAATTCTATATGTTCAAATGGATGTAGAATTGCCAAGTGCATGAAAGAGTACTTTTTCTTTAAAAAGAACTACAAAGGAGCATTGAACTCTATTGCTCTTGCAAAATCTCTACATCATAAACTGTGGGATAGCTGTCCTTACTTGTTGAAGCAATTACCTGGCATTGGAATGGTGACAGCAAAGGTAACTAGACACCACATATACTTTGAGATTGCTGATGGAAAATTTACTCTAAGGGTTAAGATTGCAAACTGCTTTTACGCTCAGGCATTGCATTCTATGGGAATAACTTCATTTGAGACCCTTGCTGAAGCTGATCCTAGGCGAATAGAAATTGTTGCCAATCGGAAATTCCCATTTGGAGACCATATTAAGGAGTCTTTACTTTCTTTGCCTCCAAAAGTTGAGATGGAGATTGAGGCAACTGAAGGCCAGGGGCAAGGAAAGTCCAAGCTGGCAGTAACTTTGACTAGGCTGACACAGGCCCAATCTAACAAACGGCATTATGCTGATATGGTAAATTATCAGGAATTGCTTTCTAAGTTTTGCTTTAAAACAAAATTTGGCATACTAAATTTCAGATAGCTGGATTGGGAATCCATTCTTTGCAGGTTGTTGGTATGGAAGAGGAAAATATGATCATCTACCATGAGAAAATCAGGTGATACTAGTTTCACTTGAAATCATTTCATCTTTTTATCACCCATCATTTTTAGGCATTACTTTTATGATTGGGTGCTTTGCATAATGAGGAAAACACATTGAGATGAAGCTGTTTTTATCATTACTGAACTTCCTGAAAATATATGCATATGACCTGTCATTCTCATAAAAGTGATAAAACTGTATCTGTTATTCATCTTCTGCTTTTATTAATGTTCTTTAAATATTGTGGCAGGGTGGACGATTTTCTCAGGTATGATCACTCAATTTCTCAGTTTCTTTTTGCTCTGTTTATTTGGCTGCAATATACTAAGCTTCAAATGGCTCATTATTCTTTGATAATTTATGAACTTATGGAATGCCATTAGCCAATGACATGATTTTATGTTTTCCTCAAACTTCTTTTGGGAGTGTAGCTGTGACATAAACACTTTAAACAAACATTTTACTATTACAAAAGTAGTTTTAAATTAGTAGGCTGAGATGCTCATTCACTTTGGATGTAATTATCTTGATTTCCTTGTTGAGGCTTCCTGAAATATCAGTAATTTTTATTTTCAAAGAACAGATTCTTGTATTTTCATTCTGTGCTGCAAGTCAAAGTTTTTCCTTGTATTCTCTGCATCTTCTAGTATGATATGGACAAAGCTACAAATTTGAGATTAAATCAAAGGAATTCAGTTTTATATGTTTGAACTAAGCCTTTGTATCTATTCATAGACTCTTAGTTGGTGAAAGTTGCTACCTTCTTGCATCTGTTATTGGAGATGATTTCTTTTGTTTACAGCCCATACCAGACGACAGTGGTTTTGCCAAACCATCTACAAGGAAAATCAACTGTAAAGGCTGATTTGGTTTTTGAAGAATTCAGTAAGACTTCAGATATTTTTATAAATGTCTTTTTTCCTTATATTTTGCCATTCTCTGTCTTGTTTTGTTTACTTAATTAATCGTTATTCCCTGTTAGGATTTTCTGGATTCAGATAATTTGATGATGCTCCTTTCCTTTTATACCCATCATAGACGAGTCATGAATTGATTAGGGAAAATTTAGGAGCCATACAAATTTCGCACTTGCCATGTAATTAGCAAGTGTAGATTTGGGTTGTACAAATGTGCAGACTAAGTTGTTGATCTACATGTTTTAAAAAATCAAGCAAATAAAATGGGACTGAGGAAGTAACTTCATCTGGGGGTGGGGGCTCTTTTGTATTTCTGCACGCTCTGGTACATAAACGTGAACTTAATTATGCTGTTACTCCATGCAGTTGGTATTGATATACACCATAAGATTGAGCAACTTGAAGAAATAAAGTCAAATGTGACTGTTAGACTTGGAACCAAGAGGTCTTCCTCTGTCCTACCTCCTGCAGAAGCTTCTCCACTCAAAAGCACTAGGGGAAGTGTAACACAAGCTAAGGAGCAATCAACCCGAAGCAAAGTCAATAAAAAAATTGATGACATGTAACTGAACTTTAATCTTGCCTGGCACTCCCCCCCCCCCCAACAAACACACACATGCGCGCGTGCTCGAGCGAAAGATTAGGGAAATTACTGGCATAATCTTTGTTTCTTACTTGCAAATCTTTGTATTGACAGGCCCTCTTTTAAACTCATAGAAGATGAGCCAGACGAAGGTATGGCTAAAAACACTCACTAAAATCTCATATTTACCCTTTATTTTCTGTTTATGGATGCTGAAATCTGTATTGAGGTGTGTTCTTGAAGGTAGTTTTGATGATAAAGCTGCTGAGGATGACTGCAAGATCATATCTGGGAGTACAATCTTTGATCACATTCGTAAAAAGGCCAAGGATTTCCCTGCCATAAAGAAGTCTAGTGCCATTAATTTTCCTATGTCAGAAACTTCAACTTTGCCAACAAAGAGCGTTTGTGTAGAGCAGCATGTTTCTCCTGGCATGATTGAATTTTCTGATGAAGTTGAGGGAAATACTGACAAACAACAAATGGTTAATTTTGGAAGACAGCACAGTGGCCATCTAGACATCAATGGTGATGCAACTGTTAATCAAGAGACTAATAATGTTGAAGAGTCGGCACTATCGGCAGGTAAAATACACGATGAATACAACTTCAGTTCTGCACCTCTTGTTCAATTTAACCTTTGTTTTATGTTGTATCAGGCGTATTTCATTCTCAGATAGCAGTAAACAGAAAAGAATTCCGCAGACTTGAGCACATACTTGATCATGCTAGGAAAAGGTCCAAAAATTTACCAGTGATCAATACATCAAACACCAAAAAAGGGTTTTCTGCTGGAGTACAAGGGAACTTTTCTGACAAGGAGCAAACACTAGGTCATCTGAATGTTGACAATGAGAAACAGTCATATGAACCTCCAGTTGGTTCTGTGATCTTTTCAGATCCCGAAACAATTGAGCATGAGTACAATGTAGATTCGCATGCAGGAACCTTCAAGGACAAGAAGCGTGCATCTTCAACTTCAAGAAAATCATTGGATCTTCCGTTTGACCTCTTCAACAATCAACCCAACAGAACATATAATGCTAATCCATCTCTCAACTCTTCACTGTCAAGGAAAGATGTCCACTACGAGCCTCCAGGGGATTCTGCAGAGCCTAAAAGCAGTACCACACTAAATCATCTAATGGAAGCAAGTCGAGGAAGCTGTTCACATGAAACTGGGGACAGAACCAGGAATGTCAACTCATTTCTCGGATTCAAGAGTGTCTTTTCATTTCTCTGATTTATAGCTGTTTCATTTCTTGGATTCAAGTACATGTTCTCACTTCTCTGATAGTCTGAATCCCCTTTTTCATTGAGGTAACTTCTCTGACAGATTTAGGTAGTGCTAATCTTGATCAAATGTATGCCTTATTGTAAATTACAAACTACTAAGGATTCCTTAAAACGCTTCCCTTGATAGAATTCGGAAGTGTATTGAATAGGATCATGGCTTGATGAGACTTGTGTCTATTGTTACATAACTATATTAGGATGTGGGGCGAAAAGTAGTCACCTTTTCTAATATAATAATGGTTTATATTAGTAATAAAACGTGACAACTCTAACTATATTGGGGTGTGGAGCTAAAAGTAGTCACCTTTTCTAATTTTATAATGGTTTATACTTTATATTAGTAATGAAATATACTATGTTTATAAGCAAAAATTTTGAACAAATGGAAAAGAACGAGATTGAGAGAACTAAGCTAATTATTTATTCAGTCGCCTTATCAATCATTTTTGAAGGAACCTATCAAATCTACGTAGCATCTGATACCTTATACTCGTATTATTTATCTTTTTTTTTTTTAATTCCGAAATACGAAGTTTACTAGGCCAAAAAAAAGGGAAAAAAGAAGCGCGCTAATGCTGGGGCAACACTTCACTTAGAGTGGGTTAAGGAGTCCAACACGTACTTAGCAAAGTGCCAGAATGTGTGCACCGTGCAGTCGTAGGTTGGAAACTGGTACTTTGCATGTAGCACCCACCCTAGTTACACCATCATCTGCTAAAAAATTGTAGCCAGAAGAAAAATTACTTTGGTTTGTTCTCCATCGTTTGAGTTTCTCTCTGGTTTCCGTAATTGAGTTAACAGGTATGCGCTCACCTCCATATAGATTTAGTTGTCACGTTACTAGTTATCATGTGACAAGTTGCTTAAGATTGAATTTTTTAAAACACGGTATATGGATTTGTATTTCAGAGTGAAAGATGGGTTGGCAGAGGATGGTGCAGTATCGGGTTTGGACTGTTATGGAAGATGCACCATTGGAATACTCATAGAAGAACCAGAGAGTTTTACTAAATAGAGGGGTATGATAAGTGTTGTGGTGGAAAGACGAATAGAAGGTTTAAATATCATAGTAGTTTTTGCAATTTGCAGTCTTTAGCTGCATATTATATTGTTTTGCATTCATAACATGCAAGTATTTTCTGAACATTCTAAACAAGTAACGATTAGTCTCTTGTTTAAAACTGTTTCTTAAGAGGCTGGGTGCATAAAGCAGAGCCAAAAATCTAAGTGATATGGAAAACGGGTCTTAAGATTCGGAATAACCTGGGTTATATTCAGGTGATAAGTCATTCGGATCAGGTATAGAACCTTGCAAGCTACCACACGCACAACCTGATTACAGAATAAGCAATTATCTATTCTGATGATTCCACAGAAGACGAGAGTGGATGTCTACAATCAATTAAGAACAATATAAACTGTAAGGAAAGCTATGAAACTACATAAGCCACAATTATATTACGAGATAGGGGCCTCGGCGACAAATATTTTCTTGTTCAATTTAAATAATAAAATTACGGTTGAGGTAAATACGAGCCAGTATTAGGCCATTTATCCAACTATTATCTCCAAGCTCAAGCAGCCACTTCTGCTAAGATACTCGATTCTTGAAAAGGGGTATACTTGGAAGAGGCAGCAGAAAAATCCTTAAAACAGTTCAGTCCCACTGAATTTTCCGGTGAAATGTCCAGTCTGACCCGTTTAATGCCTTAGTCCCATCAATAGAAACCATATAGTAAGGGGAGTCTTCAGCGAATTCAGTTGGCATGGATTTCCAATGCAAATTCGGCTCCCAGTCTGCTTCCTTGAGCACCTTCAGTATCTCTTCTACCAATATATTGCTTCCTTCGGCAGAGAAATGTATCCCATCTCTGCCAAGTACAAATTCAACATAAGGTTTGAGATATGCTTCTTCATAATAGTTTACGTCTTTATATAATTTACCAAAATAATAGGTCACATTCTAAATTTAGTAAATTTCTCGATGATAATTCAATGCTGAATGCATGTGAAAATAATTCAGGATTAAAGCAGCAAGTGAAAGTCTTTAAAACAGTGTAGTTAGAGGTCAAAGCAGGAAAATTATCAAACTTACGTAAAACAAGCTGTCAACCAGTCCTCCCTCCTCTGGATTGCAGAGTAAAGATCAATCACTTTCAAATCCATTTCCCTGCATAGCTCTATCAGGGCTTCAGAATATCTTTGACATTGTTCATTCGATCGAAGTAACTCCGATAGATATATACTGGTTCAACAGAAATACCTACTTCAAAATTATAATCCTGCGATGTAGAAAGTAATAACAAAAGAAGAGGTCTAAAAGGAGAACCTTTTGTTTTCTCGAATATGGTCTTCATTCACCGGAGGACTGCTAAGGAATATAATCCGTGTTGTATCTGAAAGACCCTAATTTGCAGACACTTGTATTAGACTTCAGACAATATGTAGGAACAAAGGATCCAAATAAACAAAATATGCAGTGTAGAGCAAGAGTAATTTGCGGAAAACTACAAGTCCTTCAAGTGTTTAAATGAGACTTTTGGGTGAAGTATAATTTTGGCATATAATTCTAATCTTTGCTCTTTGTTGCCATTTCCTTAGGGCCTATTGGTCAGCCACAAATCTTAAGAGAAATCTCATCACATGATTAGCTTCATAAGATGCAAAATTTGAGATGATTGAAAGAAAACGGCAGGCTCTATTATTTTGACAGGGAGGGCAGACTATTTTACAGCCTCAGGCCCTCCAAAACCTGCTTCAGTGATAATTACATACTTCCTCTGCTCCCCTAATATTGCAACATGGGGGTATTGTATGGAATTTAAGATGGGGAGAGAGACATAAAATTAGATACCCATGTGATGAGAGAGATAGAGAGAAGGCATGCACAAATAAGAAAATGTTGCAATAATTGTGAAACAACCTAAAATAGTAATTGTTGCAATATTAGAGGAACGGAGGAAGTATAATATACAATGTAAACATCACAAGAGCTAAAACTTCTTTAAAAGAAAAGAAGGCAGCAACACCTTAATATGAGTAGCAATCTTTCTCATGTTCTCAACATATTCTGAAAGCGGCACATGAGGGCCAAGGCCTGACGGGTGGCTGCCCATCGAATCATTACCTCCGAAGTACACTATTACCAATGAAGGCTGAGTACTAGCATCCTAGAGTCAAAAAAATATTATCAAGGTCAAAATCTTAGCTGGAAGAGCAATAATAACGATCATTGATAGATGCAAACAATTAGCAAGAATGAACTGAATGAACATCAAAGGCATCTGCAGCACACATATTCTTATGTGGACAATTCAAAACAAACTCAGCTTAAGACATCCTCTGCAATGTACTAGAAATAACCAATACTATAACAAGAAAAGAAAAGCTGTCTAACGAGTCAATTTTCATTAATCTCACCACAGACAGACAATGATACAGAAATAGGCGAGCAACGGAGGCAGTGAGAGAGGGGGTGGGAATTTGGGAGGGGGAAGAGGTGGGGACTGAATTTTCATCATCCTTGCACTAAAAATTAAGGGAAACAGAATACTCTGTATCACATAAGCCTCACAGAACAGCAGAACCAACCTAATAAGCCAAACAGACAAATGAATAACAAGCCACATCACAAATTGAAAAGATAAAATATTTGCATTAGCTGGGGCATTCAAATACCTGTCGTCAGGGAGAAGGGGGGCCAAAAAATAAATAAGTTGATCACAGGTAATTTCAACAAGGAACATAAAAGCTATCTACTTGAGAAACAGATCTACAGAATCTCTATCTTGTGGATTCATAATAGGACTAGCAATTCCATTTAGTTTGAGATATTTGTTATTGAATAACTTTAGCATATAAACAATAATTGATTAGTGCAGAAGCTCAGCACAATCAGCAAGAATTCAAGGATTTCTTTGAAACTCATCTGTTAGGGAACTCACAAGCTACACCGCCACTATTTCAGACCAACAATGCTCAATCCATAACACAAACAACCCTCTGAGATGAGCATGTGGCTGCTTATAGCCACTCTACTCAAAGCAAAACCTTCCCAAGGCATGCAATAGAGAGGCCGAGAATACAATAGGTCTTAGCACCAAATTCCACTCCCCAAGGCATGCATTATGGTGATCTCCAATGATCCTTCCATGGACTACCTCCTAGACAGCAAGACACAAGACATGGAATAATCCTTGCTTCCTTTTTCCAGTAACATATTTCTCCCAAGTGCCAAATTATATAAGCAATTTCACTATGAGTTATTAGCCAGTCCACCCAACTGCCAAGTATCTCTCAGAAATGCCCATTCCTCCAATTGTAATGAATTAATAATCCATAATTAGTTACGGACTCTGATAAATGTGCTCAGCTCTGATGTTATCTTCTAAGATATACTGCATTAATTTGTTCTAGTTTTTACACTCTCTCCTTACATTCAAAGACACATCAGCTCATCTATATATCTGTCTAACACCAGAAAATACCCTTGGCTTGTACATCATTCTCTAATAGTTCCTGCAATATTAGACCAGCTTCTGATGCTGTAACACTCGTTCAGTTTTCTATTCACAGTAATTACAGTTAGATCTTATATAATTAGGTGGCTCAAAGATATTTGTTTGCAACCAAAAGAATAGCAGCAACAAGAAAATTACCTTTGGAAAGACTTGATCAAGGACCTCCAGTGCACGGCGAGAGTTCCAGCAAGTATATCCTCGCACAAAAATGTCTGCCTGTGTATATCAGAAGCCAAGATTTAATAAAAGCAAGTGAGTACATATGGACTGGCTATGATGAAACTGGACGTGATGTGGGATGTTTAAAGTTAAATAATCATGGTATAAGAACCAACATAGCGCAAAGTACATTAAATCAAGATTGTCATCAGTAGTCATATTACTCCACAAGGATTTCTTCTTCTACTGAAGCGAATGTTTTACTATATATCTCCCTAGAAAGAGAGAAAGGAAAATACAGAAGCAATTCAGCACGAAAGTCAATATACTCAATCAACATAAAGAGTCAAATATAAAGCTCACTCAGGAAAATGAGGGGAAAACAATGGCTAAAGCAACTAAGCAGTCAGACTGTGTACGGCAAGAAAACACTCAAGCCATTAGAGCGAGCTCGATAATGACATGTAATGATTGAACTCTTAGGAGATCACATCTTTATTGCCCTTAAATTTCAATTTTTTTTTCCTACAAAAGCCCATACTCAAAGCTTGCTACACATCAGCCACATTGGTGAGTTAATTGAACATGTGAACTAGCATTAATAATTTTAACAGGTCATACTCATACTACCAATCAACCTCCTACTACCCTTTTAATTTTATCAATAAAAAAAACCTCTTTTAGAAGCTGTTTCCCCAACAACTTCTGTAAAGTAACATTGTTGTTGCCTAGGAGAGCCATTAATCTATAAAGCATTAGTGTGAGACGGTATCATGGTACGACATGTACTTTTCACAAAAGTTGAGGTGACATTTTCCACGACGATCAAACCAAAAACAAAATACCCCTGTAGCATTGGCCCTAAAAGCAATAAGCATTACAAACATCCTTCTACATGACTTACATATGTCAATCCTGTTTCATTTCCTAAGACAATGCTGTAAAACCATAAATAATTAATATCAAAACAAACTCAAAAAAATACCTTAACGCAACAGATCATAACCCCACAAAGTACAAACCAAAAACACCCTAATATCAATGAAATTTCACATACACAATGAAATACAAAATTAATCATTCCAAAAAACATCGTTCACAATCAAATCATTTCAACTCTAACAAGATCATTGATTCATCACCCTAAATTCACCGCAAAAAGATAACAACTTTCACATCAAACTAACATAAAAATTTAATCTTTATACAAAAAATGAGAGAGATTAAACCTTGCGAGCATAAATATCAGCAAGAGTGGCACCCCAGCCGCCATTACTAAAGCTGTATTGAACAATCGATGATCCGAACAGCACGAACTGCGGTCTGGCGGGTCCCACCATTGTTGTAACGGCAAAAAATTGGTGAAGATTGAGAGAAAAATGAGGAGAAGAAAAATTCAGAAATTTCAGAATTCAGATTATTGGTGAAGTGGGTAGAACAACTGAAAGAAGAAGTAAATAAATAAGTAGTGTTGTACGAGTAGTAGTAAGTTAGTAACTAAGGATGCATAATTTGGTGGGATATTCAATGCGACGTGGGCTTTTTTTATTTTGGGTATTCAATTGCAGAACCATACTACTTTACTCTACTCCCCAACCTCCTCCATTTCATTCATTTGCATTCAACATTGATTTTATTATGAGTTCCGTAGTCAATTTTCCAGGGGAAAGGCTATTTGCCCATCAACGCCGTAAGTGAGCTGGGTTTAGGGCGTCGTGGGAGATGTATTAGCCATATCTTAGCTTTTTACGCCTAATACAATGATTGCGAATAGGTCACGACTTATTAACCTTATAATACTAAAAAAAAGTTTCTATTAAGATTATTGAATTGAATATGTATGTTTGTCATGTATGAGTATTTGAGTAGAGGGGTGGGAATATGCGGCACTTATACAATGTTTTTTTGTGTATTGTGTAAGTCGGACCCTTTCACGTGACCACATCACTTATGTTAGAAAAGAAAAACTTATTGGTCTTCTATGAGTTTACTCTATACTAGCCAACTTATTATTTTGATTTGAACTTGACAGTTCTTAACTTTTTTTTAACTTATTATTTTTACTTTTTTTTAAAACCTAATGAATAGTACGGAAGTAATATGTATTTGAGTTGAATAAAAACGAGGCCAAAGCAAAGTGACATAAGAAGTAATATGGGAAAAAGCAGGAACTAAAATATTTGGAACACAATTTTCTACAGTAGTTTTTCCATGGAAACAAAGCACGTTCAAATAATTTCTAGAAAAGGTCTCAATTAGTACTCCACCAAACTTAGGCATACTTTAATGGTAGTTGAAAAGTCTGAAGATTACACGTCCACTTGGGTCTTTTCTATTCATTTGCTTTGAGACTGCAAGTACTGTCTAAAATAGCCAAAATGGGACTAGTAAAGCCATTGCGGAGTAACATTACTATGTGTGGTTATACACCTGCTTTACCCCTATCAGTTATCATTCAACTACAAGTACTGTCTAAAATAGCCAAAATGTACATTTTCGAAGTCTTTAAAACATAATGAGATAAGATAACTGGTTTATCGGAAGAATCAAAACCATTCCAAAAGAAATCATAACATCGGCTATGTTTCTGTTTAGTAACCATGTATATGCCTAGTAACAAGCTTTTGCCTGCGATATACCTGTAGGTTGTAACATGCTTTAGTCGTTTATATTTTATCACTTTTGGATAAAACCCCTGAAAAACATAAGGATTATAGAGAATTGCATTATATATTATGTGTGTCTGGTCCATAAATTGGAACGTAAGCTTAAGAATCACAAAAACAATACAGAAAGTGCAAAATCTCACTGGCAAGAACTCATTTTAAGTTAAATCAAATAGCTGGTTCACAAAAGTATGAAACAAAGTAGAACTGGAGGCAACAAAGAAGGTTCAATGCTGTACTGCAACAGCAGCAGCAATGCATTATTTATATCTATGCTTGTCATTAGTCAATTACAATGTAAGAACCCCTCTTTCTGCCTATCGAGGTTCGTTCAAATGTTGAATTAATTGAATAATGAATGTTATATGCAATTCAATAATATTCACTGTAATTCTAAACAATGGTTATAATCAGTTGGCTTAGGCCAATATAATATGCTTGTGTAACTGAAACAAAAAGTGAACGCCTGCAGCCTGCAATTTTAGCCGTGGAAACCAGCATTCAGCAGCCCAGAGATTTTCTGTACAGCAAAATGTTCTGGAAGTGCAACAACCATATACCAAAGTGCATTCCCAAAAGTCGAGCTCTTAAAATAATCCCTTCCAGCCAGACAATTAGCCATGTTATCAAAGATTTCTTTTTCATCAACTTTGCCTGAATGACTGCTTCAGAAGAAACCCGACCAATGATCAAGAATGTATCCAAAGATGATCCTTGCAGCTGAGCAAAATATTCATAACTGGAAGTTAGATCAGGCAATATAGTCAAATAGCAGATAAAGACAATTACTAAGAACATACTCTCAATATAACTCTGTTTATTAGGTAAAACAAATAGTTTACACCCCTAGCAAATCTCAATCACTCTGTTCATTGTTTCTTTTCCAGTGGTAATTACAAGCAAATTGGCATTGCCAAAGTTCAGTGTCATATATTTGGCAAAGTATTAATTTTATCCTACACCCAGGACTAGGATGTGCATCCATAGATCATCATTACTCATTATTTGTAATGTTGAAAGTGGCCACAATTTAAAGGACATTTGGACATTTGGTAAATAATATCTCAGTTGTCTTCCGCATAAAAATTGCATATCTCCTTCACTCTGAAAGGAAATGAACAAACCACCACCACCCAATGTGATCAGCCTATAAAGGGTTCCCAAGAACCTATTAATCTCCCCTCGGGTCATTTTTCCCCAAAACTCTCTGAGATAACCTAATGACAAAATCTATAGGCATTTTTTCCTCACGAATACAAAAAGCTCCTTACCACAATGGCAATAGAAGAGGACTAGAGAAAACAGAGTGTCGAAAATTATCTGACAACAGGTGTAAGGTGTAACAGACTAACAGGACTAATAACTCAAGATGATGAGACTTTTCATGTCTTGTGCACTCATTGTCCCCATGACCCTCAAAATAGAAAGGCCGTTTACATAAGTTTATCAAAATAAAGTCAGTTCATCAAATACTGATCATTGTTGACAACAAGTATCACTTTCATGTATACGTTGGTTCGTCCAAAAACTGGAAATTATAAAGGAATAACATATATAGTAACTGAAGTCTCAAGTTTAAATGCATTACCAAAACATTGTTGACTGATCGTAAGCAGTCATTGGTCTTCAGCATCAACAAAATCACACGAGGCAGCCTCCTCAAAAGTTCTGAGATCTGAGGGAAGTATTGGGATGCATACATCTGGAAGCAACAAAGCATAACGTTAATTTGTAACAAGTCAATTACAGAAAACCATCATGATAAAAATCTAGGATGCACATCCATGATTATTAGGAAGATCAAACTCAATTATATTAAAAACTTATATCAACACTGCATATAAAACAATCTCCTTATAAAAAAAGACAAAACGTAACGCATTGTAATAAATAAGTTTACCTGGAGTTCCGATCGATCATTCTCTGTCCCCTGTATCATCAAATGATCAACTGAGGTATCAATGACCCTATTCCAAGGCCTCATTGTCAGAATACCGGCAAATAGTGCATAGAGGTCATCCCCAGCACCCAGCTTTGCACTATTTTCTCTTATAGCCTTTTCATCAGAAAACACCAACCCCTACATTACACATCATAAAAAGATAGTCTCAAATGCTCCCTATAAATCTATACAAAATTTAGAAAACTTATATTTATTAAGATAACCACGGATAAAACAAATTTACACCTTCCACAATGCAGCATAGTTTACTCTGGTATCAAAGTCAAGTTCTTTATATAGACCATGGTCCAAAAGTACCAACTGTGGTTTTCTCTTGCCTGTTAAAGTAAAGGAAATCAAAAAACCAGTCTCAGTGCATATGACATCTCGAAATAGAGTTCTCTAGACAAAGAAAGTACGGAGATCAATGTATGATGAAAAGCTAAACAAAGATGAGCTCACCCAAGCAAAAATTTAAAAAGTATGTATTATGCACGTACGCACACAAAGTAAGGTAGCTTAAGAAATTAATCCTTTCAAGTTCAACAATACATGAACAATATACAAGTCAAATTTGCAAATTTTTGAGAAAAAGACGAATTCTAAATTGAAAAGGTCACAAGATAACACAAGAAAAGAGACCTACATAATTCAAGCTACACATTTGATTACCATAGTAAGGACAATTAGGACATGAACCTGATGACGCCATTCAAGGACACCACTTGACACTCTTCCAAAACTATAATAAGATTCTCAATTCTCCTCGTAATCCATATTCTTTAGACTCTCCTCTATTCATAGATTTCCTAATACCCCTTTTCCTTTAACTTGTTTCCTACCCTTTTCTTCAAGCTTCCTAGTTGATTTATTGTATAATTCCAATAAGACCCCTTCTATGGATGCTTCATCACATTGAGATTCAGTACAACACTCAATTCATTTCAATGCTTCTCAAGTGATATTTAACATGTTTATTAAAAATTTCATTAAGCATCTTGGGGTCATAAATGATTGTTTGGAACTATATAAGCCCACAAGTCAGTCACATAAAAGCTTGTGGTGGTCTAGAGTCTAGCAGGAGACAATTCGGTAACCATTGAAATTGATAGTAGGTAAAGTGGACTAGACGATTCAAACCACACAGGTGCCACCCGAGTTCTAGTGAGGTCCATGGGAACACCTTGTAGGTTCATAAATGTCAAAAATTGTCCAAAATTGTAGGTTATATAATCCACGCTTTTGGACTAATTTCGGAGATTTTGGTACCAGAAAACTCAAGAAATGGTGGGGATGCATTCCGAAATCATACAAGGTTATTTGGAATCATATACACCTATTAGTCAGTTAAATAAAGGCCTAAATTGGCATTGAGCAGGCATGCTTGTAACCAACTCTTTGACAATTAAGAGGTAAAGGACGGTACCAACCACCCCTATGGCCTCCGTAGGTTCCATGGGAAGCACCTTGACCTATTTTCTTTTTGGGTCCAAAAATATCTAAAATCTCCAAAATTATAAGGGTATAATACACGCACTCGGACCAATTTCAGAAACTTTTCTAAAACTTAAGTGGATGTAAGGGTTGTCTGGGTCATAAAAGTTGGTTTAGAACCATTACAGGCCTCTAATAGGTCTATGTTTTGAGAATGGTTGTAGTTTAATTATATGATTATTTCGAAATTTTGTTGATTCAAGTGGTGCTGAGGGATAAATTTCGAGGTCATCCTTGATTCCCCATATACACTCATAGGTTGGTCACATTAATGTTTATGGTGTTCTTAAGTCAATAATAAGAGGCATGTCCATGATTGATTAAATAAATAATTAAGAGGCAAATTGGACAATTTTAGTCACCCGGGGCCTCATGGGGTCCATGGGAAGCACCACGACCTCAGGTCAAAAAAAGTCGAAATTCTTCGGAATCGTAGGTTATAATCCACGCTTTCAGATAATTTTTCAGAGATTTTAGGATCCGATGTAGAAAACTCATGAAATCGAAAGGGATGCATCTCGGATTCATAAAAGGTTGTTTGGAACCATATATGTATGTAGTCGGCTTGATAGGAGGCGTGCCCGTAATTGGATAATTTAACACTAAAAGACCAAGTAGACGGTTCCAAACACCAGTGGGCTCTTGAGGTTTAGTGGGGTCCATATAATACATGGTCTTCTTTCCTATTCGGGTACAAAATTGTCGGAAATTTCCAAAAGTAAAGGTCAACCCGTGCTTTCAGACATAGTTCAGGAAATTTTTCAAAAACTATGGTGGGAATGGGGGTTGTTTCTCATGGTCATAAAAGTTGCCTTGAAATCATAAGGTCCATAATAGACTCATCATTAAGCCTATAAAGTCTCGAGACTGAATTTGATTCAATTAAATGGTTATTTAGAAAATATGTTATAGTGGATGGTTTCAATCGCAACTAGGCATCCTAGGTCTTATTAAGGTGTCAAGAATCCTTCATTACGCACCCACCTTTGTCGATGCATAGGTTGTTTATATTGGTGTTACACCCACCATTATCATTGTTGATTTTGGTTGTGTTCAATTGTTCATAGTGAAGGCTTAGTGAAAATATCCAAAACGGGGCCTTATGGAACCATGTTGATAATAATACTAGGATACCTTTCTGAGATATGGGTGACTTTCCTTAATTAGGAAAATGGTTTTTAATGGAACATGAGCGTATATCATATAAGATTTGAATTTGGTGGTACCATCTTTCCTGGATGGACCAATCTTAGACACAATATTTTGTGCAATGCAAAAAAGTACATGGACAAAAGTTACCTAATATATTTCTTTTGCCTGAAGGCAATGGGCGAACTATCAAGTTGGCTGCATGTGGATCACAGTGCACAAATCCATGTTTGTAAATCATCTCTGCAAAAGCCTCGCTAATCTACAATCAATTACAAATCATCAACCTTATTAGACAATACTGAAAGCAGAAATACAAATTTTGGACAAAAGAATTTCAAAAAATGTATAAATGAAGGTTCAATGTGACAAAATAAACTATCGGAATTCTTTATATGAATCCCAATCAAACTAGTTATCCAACTCCAAAAAATTTGCAAAGTGGATATTATTGGGATTAAAGTGGGGAAGAAAATTTATATAAAAAAAAAATAATAATAAAATAAAATCAGAATCAGAGATCATGTAATGCCAGGACCAAGCCATGGTATGCTAAGCTATACGAAAGATCTCGTCTTATGAACCCTAGACCATGACAAGCTATCAAGTGCAGCAAAATAAGGAAAATTACCAGTCTGGAAACATCGTACGGTAGAATTCCCATTTTCCGAATGCCCTTCACATCATCAATTTGAACACCATCTATATACTCCATAGTTAGCAATTTTTTGGTACTCATGTTCCAGTAGACCAATGGAACATATATACTGTCTGATATATGTGGTGATAGTTTCTGAAAATTATGCAAACATTTTTGACTGTTCTGTGCCTCCACCAAGAAGTCTAGTTCCTGATAGCCACAACAACGATAATTATATCAGGCCCTTGCATCTAATAAATAAAATCCAATTACTTGAGCATTTAAATCAGATACACATAGTTTAAATGATATTAAATAATAAACCAAATATGTAAGACAACTGGAAGATAAAGGCTAGATAAGTCATGACAATACATTAAATCCAAAAAAAAATATTTCTACTCTTGAATACTTTAATCAGTATCTTCTACAGGAGTTAACTCAAGAAATCTAGATACTAGAACTGCTTCAAATCTATTACTAGATACCAATCCAATGAAAACAGATCTAGGTTTCTTAGCTGCATGCTCTGCGAGCCCCAACTTAATAGTAGACCAAAAGCCTGGTCAGAAGACTCGGATCAGTGAGACTATTATTACAGAATTCTCAACCACAAAGGTAGATCAACCCTAATGTACGTTAATAAAACTCAGTGCATTTATTTTTAATACTCCCTCCAAAATCCTAACAGACATTGCGTGAAAGGTAAGAAAGCATCATTCATTGCATTTTCTTTTTTTTCTTTTCTACGAAATTTCAATTTTCAATCATGCTTTGGGACAACAAAATTCATAAATTTTCATCATTGTCTTCAGGCAGAAAGAATCCAACATAATATGGAAAGCCAGAAAGGTGTCCCAGGTATAAAGAAAGACAAAGTGACAAACACCAATGATTACTAATATCAATAAATTTTCATTTGATTTCCCATGACTTAGAATTTAGTTACAACAACGAATCAGCATACAACCATTAAGAAAGAAGATAGAGCAAAGGGCGGAATCACAGAATTCTTCAGATGTGACCAACAAAAACAGATAAAACTACATACACAGAATTAGCTTTTTCAGAATGAAGAACACCAGAATTAGCATATTGATAAAGCAAAGGTACAGCCTTAATCAAATAATGATATCTTGTGACAAAACATTACTCCTTCCATCCTCACATCATATACTCGTATTGATGACCTTTCGTGCCTTACGGTAAAGGTTATAATGTCAGAGTAAATTAAGTAGTTTTTTCAATCATGCCCTTGCTCACTCCACCTTATAAACCCATCTCCTCGAATTAGAAGCTTGGTCAGTCCCCAATCTTTGTCAACCCCCAACTATTATTCAATTACCTTGAATAGGATATTTACCCCACCAAAACTCCAGTGATATGGCCCCCTACTCATTTAATGAATCCCCTACTAAATACACTTAGTATGCGTACCATTCGCAAGAAAGTGGGTGTCGTGGGATTGCAGACAAACTAAGGGAAAATCACTTGCGTTGGTTCGGGCATGTAAGATAGAAACCCCAAGGTGCACCAGTACGAAGAGTGGAAGAGTGGGATCATGGAGAGGTTAAACGAGGTAGAGGGAGACCGAAAATAACTTGGTTGGAAGGAGTTAGGAAGGATATGAAGCATATGGATTTGCATAAGAATGAGGTATTTGATCGCAAGGGGTGGAGGAAAAAGATTTTTGTGGATGACTATACGGAATAATTACTTTTGGTTCATGTAACCGACCCCACTTATAGGATTAAGGCTTTGATTGATTGATATGCATTCCCAAGCATAAAAAGACAATTATCGAGGAAGGAACAGGGAATTCAGTCACGTAACCTTCTCTCTCTCTCTCTCTCTCTCTCTCTCTCTCTCTCTCTCTCTCTCTCTCTCTCTCTCTCTCTCTCTCTCTATATATATATATATATATATATATATATATATATATATCTCACACACACACACATTTAATCACTCCCCTATTATATTTTCTTAACATGTGTGCCCAAGCATAAATGGACAATTATTTGAGGACAGAGAGAGTGGTCGTTTAACTATCATTAATAAAGGGAAAAGCAGGGAATTTAGTCACGTAATCTTGTTCTTTTCATGATAAATCATGGAAGACTAGTTTAATCCATGTGCTACAATTATAAATGCCCAAGGGAGTTGCATCTGATGAGTCATTTGGCAAAGAAACATATACATGAAACCCAGAACAGTCAATAATGAAGTCTCATAGACTCATAGGGAGTAAATAGTCATATCAGCACCAAGCTACCAAGTAGATGCATATAAGCCAGATAAAAAAGTCAAAGAAGTGATTTAAAATGAGAAGGAGCTAAGACTTTTTTGCCTTTTTTTTTTAACAGAGTGCATGTTTTATTAGCTGCAACTTTTAGAATTTAATAACACGTGCAACTTGACTTAAAAGAATGTGCACTGTTATTTTAATCAAGGCAAATCTTTTTTCCATAGATGTAGTTTTGGTTCAGCAAAAGATAAGCAAACGATAAACATAGAGCTCAAAAATAATGCACATTCAGTTCCAGAAAGTTGCACGTGTCACCCTTCCAATTACAAAAGCTTTCTCATTGGGTCTCTCCCCAACATATTTAACTTCTGCTTCTCTAATTATATTTAAGTTTTACAACATACCTTAGGCAAGCTTTCTCGAACTTCAGCGACCAACCACCTATATACGACAAGAGATTTGGCACATTAGAGCAGTGTGTGTAGTTCAAGGATATAAAATTTTCAACTTTTTTTATGATGCACTAGTCCAGTGACCTTGGCTCTCATCATGTTTAGAGAAATTATCTTAGCATGGCATCATAACAGGAATTTAAGTTTGGGTAATTATGCACTTTGAATATTAACCTGTAAGCAAAAGTGCAATACTTCAAAGTACCTATAATCAAAATTAGGAAACAACCGATGAAGAGTGTTTACAATCAGCTCCACTGTTGCATAATCTGCAGCCGCAGTATCAGTCATGTGAGCATGCTGTACCTGTATATTAGAAAGTAGCAGGGAAATGTAGAAAAGAAAAGGAAATTCTAGGCTCAGCACTTAAAATCCACATTGTGTACAATCTATAATCTTATTTACATTAATAATACAGAAATTGTAACCTTCACAGCGACTTCTTGGCCATTATGCAGCTGTGCAACATGAACTTGTGCAAGGGAAGCGCTTGCTATGGGAGCAGGATCAAATTTGGCAAAAATCTGCACATAACAAAGCAAAATTTGAGCACCAGTTACCAGGGCATCAACTCTCTTCTGGGGGCTTGAGGGCATCAACTTGCCCTATTTCCTGGCCAGGAGGAAAAAAAAAAAAAAGCTCTCTGAACTCCCCCCCCCCCCCCCAAGGCAGCACAGCCTTGATTTGGATGTCACTAAGGGAGAGGTGGGTCCATCAGGAGGGCATTAATCTGCCTACCCCATCCCATCACATTGACTGGACCGGCTGGTCCATAGGCCAATATGGATGTTTCAAGTGGAACACTATCATTCCTATAAACACAAAAACAATTTTGAAGCCTATATAAAGAGAGGCCTAACTAAGGTTAGAGAACAAAAAAGTGGAAGCTTATAGTTTCTAAGTGTTCTTTTTCTCCCCTGGCACCCTACTCTATCACTAGAAGTTTTATAATGGTGTTTTTTCTCTCATGTTCTAAAATATGTGAGAACTATCCATTTGTTTGCTGAGAAGCTAACGCAGAGCATAACATAAAAGAAGAGATTAAAGTAAAGAAGTAAGTTATGGATTCAAGAAAGGAGATACACAATTTCACAAGCAATATTGGGGGGGGGGGGGATGAACATACTTCATTTGGCATCCCTCCAAGCTCCTTCTTTATAACATCACACACTTGATCATATGATGAAACCGGACATTTATTCAGCATAGACTCCCTCATTGTTTTTACATACTCTTCCGGAACTAGATATTCCTGAATCAGAGATGATAAAAAACAGCATCAAATATGTAGAAGCAAACAAAAATCCATACATGCCCTCTAACAAATCTATTAGAGACACTCATGCCAAAGCTTCAAATTTATCACAGCAAATTCAGTTTGCAATCGGTTCATAAATGCTAGTTAGAGAGAGTACCAATTGACCAATATGTTGACCAAGCTTAATATATATTCCTCCATTTCTGAAGCATAGATCTTGGAGCTTAAGAGCACTTCTAATATGAACTTCATGTTTCATTTTTGAATACTCAGTGCTCCCTTCTGGTAATCCCAGCAGAGAATATTCATAATCTGATCCATGCAAAAAGATGTCAGACATGTACACAAAATATTTCCAATTATTTTAAAGATTAAATACATATGAAGTATGAGACCATATAGTTTAGTATGACCATTCTCAAGGCATAGGTAAAGAGATAAAAACTCAAGAATAAGGCCTTGTGTATTTATTAATTACATATCTGTCAAGTAATCAAGTAAAAAAGATTACCCAACAAAATGATTATATCAACAAAAAGGCGCAGATTTGAATCCTAAATAAAGGCAACTATACGTAAACACCTTGGGAAAATGGCCTTCATTACAGCATGACTCCTACCACAAACAAAAGACAATTTGTTTAACACTAGTGCCAAGCTAGGAGATATAGTAATATGTGTGCGTTTGGGAAAAGAAATAAGAACAACAAGAAGCACCAAAACTTTTGCAGCACTCTCAAACATAAGGTTTAATGCTAGGGTAATTATATGTTAAGAATTAATCAATGGACATAAGATTTGTTCTTTAGCACATATTGCAATCTCAAACATCTAGTTCACTGATGGGCTAACTAGTGACTAATTCAGCATAGAATGTTGGAGTTGCAATAGTTCCTAGGACATCACTCCAAACAAGGCCACTATGCACCAAGAAACAAAATTCCTGCAGCTACCTGCATAAAATTTTAACTATCCTCCATTTATCAAAAACCTAGTCCTCTTATTCATCTAAAAGAAACACCTTCATACCATTTGAAATTCATTAGCCATTTTGGTATCCTAATCTGATATCAAAGATCCAACTCTTTAAACATTCCATTATTAAGTACTATGTTACTCAGCGCATTCAAAAGTATCATATACGGCCAACTTATGACAAAAATTTGCATAATTTGGTCCAAAATGAGAATCAAATCCAACAAGGGTATTATTTGAGGTGAATTGTAGCATACTAAAAATAATAGTATACACACAAGAATTAGGTTAATGAAACATTCATCTAATCATTGACGCAATTGCCAACTACTACACAAATTCATCAAAAATTGAACTTCAAATCACCCAAAATCACTTTAAAACGTCAAAATTCAACAACAAACTTCTATCAATTTCCATCAAACCAAAACAAACATCCACAAATTTGACCTCATTACACAGCATACTGAAACCCTAATCCTAATTGAAATCCCTCCCCAAATTAAAACACCAAATCTATGAGAATTATAGAAGATAAGAAGAGTACCGAAGGCGATACTAGCGGCGGTGAAAGCGTCGCGAAAGAGGCGTACAGGGACATTGGTCCACAGTTTAAACGTTGCCGGAGGATCGTCGGAAGTTAAAATGGTGGCGCCGGCAGTTCCACCGGCGACGGCGGTGCCGACCGCCATAAATTTGGCCGCAACTCCCCATAAAGTACGCGTAGCCATATTTAAGACCGCGGATTATAAAGTTAACTTTTGAATGAGCTGCTATTTATGGGCTTGCTGGGCATGCCCATGATATTGATAATACATTAATACGAGTATTTATTTTATTTTTTATTTTAATTATCGAATAGGTCTCTAGCCTTTTGGCCCGTTTGATGTACGGGTTGTTACTTAGGTAATTTTTATGTGTAGGTATGCTTTCCAATAGTTAAAACTTTTGATGTAAAATACGAAATAATTGTTTCATGACCATTGAGGTGAATAAAGTTCAGTGCTAAAACTTAAAAGAAAGAGAGAGTGAAGGTGGATTGTGGAAGAAGATGAAGGAATTTAGTTAGGTATATGAATATTGTGAGATATGAAATGACATATTAGTTTAAGTTATTTTTTAGGAGATGAAAAGACTATTGTTATTGTACTTCGTATGTTTATTAATGTGTACAAATTAGTTCAACTTATTTTATTATGGTGGATACGAACACTTCATTTTCTTACTTAAATTTGCTAGTTACATAATGCATAAAAACTTTAACATTATATATTTTTTATATTTTAAGTTTTATATCAAAAAGGAATATAAAACGGAAAGATTAAGAGAGGTGACATGTGGCATATGAGTGATTTGTGGTGACATGTGGTATATGGGTAATTTGTGGTTTGTGTTTTTAAATACTAAGTATAGATAGATTATACATTTGTAAAAAGAAAGAAAGAAAGAAAAAAAAAAAAAAAAAAAAAAAAAAAAAAGAAACCATTAATATCTTAAGTTATACATCTATATCTATACTTATCTATTAAAAAACGTTTCTAAAAAAGTTTATATGCCACGTGGCACCCTCGCCATGTCATTTTTTCATCTATGAGCATATTCTAATATAATGAAACATGTCTATCATGATATTTGAACTCATAACCACAAAAAAATGCATTAGAAGTCTTACCATCTTATCTATTGATTAATCATGCTTTTATACTCAACTCATAACTATACATATGGATTGGAGATCTGGACATTTAATAACTGCAATTCTTCAGAACATCGATTCTATTATTTGTTAATAATACTCATCGAGGTAATGCATACAAGAAAAATTAACTATTGTTATAAATTAATTTTAGTTATTTATTTATTTTGATAATAATTATGTCCTTATTTTCACTATATTATAAATTTTATACGAAGGTCATGTTTATATAATTAGGCAAAAGCTGTTCATAAATAATTTATTCAAAGGTTTAATGAAAAACTATTATAAGTAAACAAATAATCAATAAATAAATAATAATGAATGAACCTATATATTCAATTACAAGTCTTCAAAGTAACAAGCCGAGACATCGCTCGGGCCACACACTAATTTGTATAAAAAAAATGTACTGAGTACTTAAATTAGATTTTACTATGGAGTGTGTGAATAGTGTATTGTAAAATTTTTGCAAGTAAAAAAGGAGGAAGCAAAAAAATAAAGATAAAAACAAAACAACTTGATTGGGTAGGTAAGAACAACTATCATACTAATATAGGAAATTGAAACCTCTCTCAAGTCAATTACAAAAATAACTTGATTGTATGGTTTAAAATTAGTAGTATGTAAATGTTAAGTGGTTGTATTTTGTACTTGTATAACATTAAATCCACTTTAAAAGCATGAGTAATACGAAAAATAATATTCTTAAAGGCAATCTGTTGAAAATTTAAAATTTTATTTCACATCTATGTACATAAGATTATTAGCTTAACTATACAAAATCAAAATCAAAACTGTATAGGACTGCATTATTAATAAACAAGGTGATCTTGAAAATTACACCAACAACTAAAATTCATGCAAAAATTTAATATTTCTTCAGGAGCACAACTTAGCCCTTAAAACCATCTCAATATCATTGGCAATAGCTATGACATCCTTTGAAATTCCTTGCAGTCCCATTCTTGACAATCCAGCACAATACACATTAGTATTTCCTTTCCAGTGAGTTGGAAAACGATTCTTTGGAAACCCATCTTTATTTAGTATATAATCGTAATCCTAACAAAAAAAAATCTCATTAAGTGTTTATGCTATATTAATGTAAAATACTTATTGCTTGTTAAGATAAATATAGAAGAAAAAAAAAACCCATAAAGAATATGATGATGATGACCAGTATCCGTGTGTGTATGTTTGTGCATGTGTGTACTACTACTACGTATCTATTAAAAGACTAAAATTGAATTATTATTCAAGTCTCATAAGTTTGAGGTAATGTACATACCTTAAGCCATTCACAAGACGTGCTTTTATATCCAGTAGCAAATATTATTGCATCAAAGTTTAATTCAACTTTATCTTCAAATATGATTTTGCTCTCGTTAATTCTCTTAATTCCAGGTAAAACCTATAAGTTTCACAAATAAAATAAAATAAAAAAATATTAAAAAATAATTAAAAAAAAAAAGATAAAAGGTGAGAAATTGGCATATAAAGTATCGAATGATAAATTCAACGGTAAATTTTTCTAATGGGAAGGTTTTGTGGTACTTAGAAATTTAACCTAACTTTCTTTGGTACTATCCAACAATGAAACAACAAATTATTTAAGGGATGGAATATGATTTCCTTAAATAATTTGTTATTTCATTATTGTTGGATGATACAAAAGAAAATGTTAACAAACAAATATTTAAGAGTAGAAAATTTACCTTAATTTTTCTAGATTGAATTTCTGCAATAGTTCCCACATCAAGAACTGGGCTTCTCCCCTTTGTTGCCTTAAGTAAAAAAGGGCCTTCATTTGGTCGACAAATTCCATACTTTGACAAATTCTCATACGTCAATCTGCTAGCAAAAGTGACTAGAGCATCCACTATTGATAAACTAAAGTACTTCAGCAAGTGCATCCCCACAAAGATCATTTCTCTTGTAACCACATGAACCTATATGATTTGATCAACAATCAATTTAATGCACATGTACACTTTATTTGTGTTCGCTATATCTATAAGATGAAAAATATGATTAAAAAAACTAACCGGATTTCTGATGACAATTGAAGTGTTGGCTCCTGAATTACATAGATCATAACTAATTTCCATCCCAGAATTACTACATCCAACGACCAACACATTTTTGTCTTGAAACTCACGACCATTCTTATATTCACTGGAATGCATTATACCTCCCTTAAAATCCTTCAAACCAGGGATATTAGGGATGTAACCCTTTCCATTTTCACCTGTTGCGACAACCAAAAAACTTGCGACGAAAACTTTAGTTACTTTCATTAAAGTATCCTTAGCTTCAACTAGCCACTTTCCCTTGACTTCATCAAACGATGCAAATTCAACAGAGTGAAAGTATTGCGGCCTGATATCAAAGTCGGAAACATAATTATCAATGTACTCTATGAAATCATTCTTACTCATATATTTTTTGGCATGTGGTGCATGGGGCTTATAGGGTAATGAGCAAAATTCTTTTGCTAGATGAAGATGGCATCGATCATATGCGCGTTTCTTCCAAAGAGAAGCATAACAATCTTCTTTTTCAAGAACGATGTAGGGAATAGATTTTTTGGTTAAGCATGCAGCAATGCCAAGCCCCGCAGGACCCGCTCCTACTACTAGGACTAATGTTTCCTCCATATATGTTCTTTTATATAATTAATTATTTTGATTTGCATAAGAAGATGTATATTCAAAGGATGAAATGACTTTGAAATTGGTATGTATTTTCTGACTTGAGGGGAAATTTGAGACTAAATAGTGTGTTTGGGATTACCCCTCGAGATTGTTTAGTAAATATATAGAGGATTATAAAGGGTTGTATTGTAGTATAAGATTTTTCAAAACATATAGACAACCTTCTTATGGAATATGACAATTAATTAATATTGGTGGCATTTCCTATCTATGATGATTTTGGAGGAACGCAATGGCATGTGGTGTTAAGTATACTAAAATTTTTGAGTTATTTTGACTTCCTAATAATTACAACTAACACATAACGTACTAGGTCATATTAAAAAGTAATGTATCCAAAAGGCATTCCTATATTTAATATGAACAATATGACAATTAGTATTGGTAAAATTTAATAATCATTTCTGTGATGAGTTGGGTATTGTTTGGAGGGAGCGCATTGGCATGTATTGTTACAAAAAAAAAAGTTGGGACAATTTGGCATCCTGAGATCTACCTCTTATAACTTGCTAAGATGTGCAAAAAACTTAGAATACAAAAATCATTTTCTAAATTTAATATGAACACAAAATAGTAAACGACTATCTGTATTATTGATTTCATTTTTCATTCACATTTTTATAAAGTCTAAATGAGCTATACAAATTTAGCCATTAATCAATCCTCTAAATCTTTCAGTTCTTACTTTGCATACAAGTATTACATAATTAATATTTGTATTTTCACATTGAATTAAATTAAAAATGGAAAAGTTTGTAGGTAAAAATGCAATAAGTTTTACTATTTAAGGAAATTCATTTAATGCAAATTTGTAATTTTTTTATTATAAGATAAGATGCCTAATTATCTATCAAAGCTCATGTATGTATATTTGATTTGCTACAGCCATGGATTAGCTAAATTAAATGTCTTATATATGTAAGTAGACTAAACTATGATTATAATGCTTAAATGTCTATCAAAGGTCATATATGTGTATTGGATTAGCCAAAATCACCAATAATGGATTAGCTTAAATTAAATAGCCTATGTAGTACATAGAGTTAATTGTGATTAAAATGCCTAACTATGTATCAAATTAGAGGTCAGATATATGTGTATTGGACTTTCCATAGCTAAATTATCAATGGATTAGCTAGCTAAAATCAATATCTTATGTACATGAACTTTCTTATGATTATAAGATGTGATGCCTAATGTATATTGGTTTTTCCATAGCCTAATATATATGGATTTTTGTAAATTAAAATATCTTATGTGATTGACATTATAAATTTGGAAAAAAATATATTGAGAAATTTATGTTAAATGGAAAAGCATTTGTGGATTCATTTGATTTTACCATGTTTGGTGTTGAAAAGGTAAGTCACTGAAATAAAAATGATATACTCCCTCCGTTAATTTTTATCTGCAACTTTTGCCATTTTAGTCCGCTAACCATTATGTGCAATTTTCTATTTTCTTTCGATTTTTAGTAAACAAAAATCCTAAAAATTACAAATTTACCCTTACTTAAGAATTCAGATTTTCTTAATCTTACCCTTATCTTATTTTAATCACAATAACCTTTTTAATCTAATCTAAAATCATTAATCTAATTCTACCCACCCCATTTAATCATCTCCTAGTCCACCCACCACCCATTCATCTCTTTCTTCAACCTCTCTTCACCTCTTTCACCCTGTTCATCTCTTTCACCTTCAGCCTCTTCATCCCTCCTCCCTCACGAGTCACGACCACCGCCCCTCACACCACCATTCTCTCTCCTATTACAATAAGCTAGTCTCTACTCTACTACACTCCACTCTTCTTCTTCCTTTTTAAACTGTTCTTTCTCTCTCCAAAAACCACCACCATGAAATCACTCGAAAGCCGCCATTAACTCACTCTCTTTCCTCTCAAATTTCTCTGTAAAACTAACCCATAAAAATAGGGTGTACATCTTCAAAGCTCGACAACGAAGACACCGTTCGCCGCTGCAAAATGGGATCTACAGTTTGATTTGTTTCGTTTTTCGTTTTTGTTTCGTGTTTTTATTGTTGATTATTGTAGATCTACAATTTTTATTGTTAATTTTCCATTTTGTAAGCTTATTGTATGTTTTTGTATTGTATTTCTATTGTTAATTTTTCGTTTTATTGTTAATTTTTATTGTTGATCATTGTAGATCTACAATTTTGTATTTTTTTCGATTTTTTTGGGTGATTTATCTTCGAATTTCTGGATTTTTTTTCGATTTTGTTCGATTTTTTTGGGTTAGGGTTAGAGTGGTGAGTTAGTTACGGTGAGGTGAGTGGGTGGGTGGAGCTGCTGGATTTTTGGGTGGTCTGGGTTAGAAGTGGGTCTAGGGCGTGGGTTTTGGGTTTTATTGAAGGTGGTGATGGTGACGATTTCTGGGTTAGGGTTCAGACTCATGTGCCTTTTAGAACTAGGGTGGTGGTGGTTAGGTGGGGTTGGTTGCGGTGGTGGTAATGGTGGTGGTAAAGCCGGTGGTGGTGTTGGTGAAGGCGGCGTTGGTGTTGGGTGGGTGGTGGCAGTAGGTGGTTGATTTCTTTAAACATTCTCTTTCCACCTTAATTACATACTCATATAATATATTAATCACCATTATACTTCCTCTAATATTTGCCCCTTAAGTTTTGCCTCGTGAACCGCAAAACACTCTAGAGTTGCAAATAAAAATTAACGGAGGGAGTACTTCATATCATACATATCCCATCTACTTATGATAAGATATACGTAGTATTACAATACATATCCATCTGATCTACTTATGATAGGATATAATTCATATAATAGATCAAATTATAGTTTTGAGAGAACACTTGCCTAATTCTTGTTATTAAAGTTGTCCTAGTAAAATGTACAAAGTAACTATGAAATAAATGATGATTATTTAAGAAAAAATGTACCGATAAAATAATTTTTTAGGATCCATTTAGTATCATTGTAGTTTTTAGTTTTTTTTTTTGGTTTTTTGTTTAAAGTCGTGTGATGTATGTCATATAAAGAATCACTAATTAGTTTGACTTATTGAAATAATAAATATTAAGAAAACTGACAACACAAATGTGAGGTGAAAACTACTTTTTTTTCTCTCTATTTTTTATTTTTTATTTTTTTTATTTTTGGTCTTTTGTTTTCAAAAAAAGAAAACTAGAAACAAAAAAAAATGATTAGAATAATAAGAAACAAGCCCCTAGGTTCTATTATTCGTAATGATTTTTTTTCTTTCCAGTTTTCTATTTGAATGAAAATAAATAAATTAAAAAAAAGAGTAAAAACAGAACATAAGAAAAAGTGGTTTTTAATTACTTTTTGGGTTTTTTTTTTTATTTTAAGGAAGGTTAAAGGGTTAGTTTACCACTCATATTTGCCCAACCTCTTGTTTTTAAAACTAGTTGTTAGCCAAGGCAATGCCTCGGGTCATCCGATGAAATATGAGATTAAAAATTAAAACATCACAATAATATCAATTAATTAAATGGTACATTAAAAATAGTTTGCAAAGAGTCACATTAACCTCTAATTAGTGATTTGGATTATCCCACAAAATTTTTAGATGTAAGTCTAAGTTTATTGGATTAACCATTGATATTTGCATCCTTTTTTGGACTCTACATTTTTTTTATATATAGTTTTTTCATATCACAATGAATAATTACGATGCACTTGTGTTACAATTAGTGATTACGGTTTTCACGGTCATATTAAGAATCAGTTTCATAAAAAATAGTTATGAAATATTGCAAAAACTAAAATGATTTTTTAATTAATAGTTATAAACAATTAAAATAGGAATCGAAAAGGCCATGAATCATGCTGAGGCATGTTATTATTAATTTTGTTAGATTTGATTAATTTTGAACAATAATGGTTCAATTTTCATGGATAATTTTGAAGGATTGGGAAGGAATACGGAGGGGTGCGCGCCCGCGTGTGTCAGTGTGTGTTATTTTTATTCTAATATAATACCTCCGTTTTATAATTCATTTAAGTTTTTTCACACGATTTAAGGATAATGGAAAGAGCATGTAATAATAACGTATTAAAAGTATGAGCATTTTATATTGAATGAATAATGACATAACTTTGGATATAGAGATATTTTATATGGAAATGGTTAAACAAAATAGATTTATTATGTCAAAATTATGTAAAATAAAAATGCTAGCTTTGGCTATAGTGAGTAATAAAAACAAACACATTATTTTGGGACACCTTAAATGAATTGTAGGAACTATATTATGGGATAGAGGGAATTTATAGCAATGGTATTTTTTTTCATGGTTAATTATTTTTTAATTCTATGAAATTTTATTTTATTTATATTTTTTAAAGCTAAAATGTTTTCTCTCATCTTAATTAAGGTTCTTATGTACTGATAGCATTAATGTAAATCGCAACTGGTTGCTTTGGGTTTTAGAAGTAATATAGATAGATAGATAAATAAATAGATATGTGACTATACATATGATTTGGTGCTATGTCATTTGTTAAAAGAAGGTGACATATGGCAGCATGATTTGTATTGCAATTGATACATGGCAACATAACATGTATTACCATTGGGTTTTAATAATACAGAATATAGATAAAGATGCTTATCAAGAAAATGATCCATACTTAGGCCTTGTTTAGTTCAACTTATTTTTACTTATTTCAGAAAAAATAAGTTCAGATCAGGAAAAATAAGTTCATATCAGATCATCGTTTTATATGCAATTTTTTATTGCTAAATATCTTTAATTTCGTAATGAGAAAAATTATGAAAATTACATATTAATAAAATACACATTATTACGAATCTAACAAGATCCCACTTGATATATTTTTTCTTTACAGATTATTGTACACTTAAGATCAAAGTTTGGTCAAATCAGACAATAAAATCAGATCAGATCAGACAGACCAGATTAGATAAGTTCAGATAAGCAAAAATA